TCTATTAAATGGTTCTTGCTCTCCATCAAAGTTACCTTTAAATGCTCAGGTACACTTCTTTGTTGGGAGGGAAGCATGATAGGTAGTGAAAAGAGAGACCGGGTGATGGAGAAATGGGGAAAGGTGCTTGTATTAATTGCTTATAACAGAATCAAGAATAGAGAGTGCTCGAAGTGAGCAGGGTATTTTGCAGCATGAGAATTCATGGGGATTATTCTAGTTCAGAGATGTCAAACTCATTTGTTACGAGAGCTGGATCTGACATAAGTGTCACTTAGTCGGGCTGGGCTGGGCCATGTGTGCCATAAAACGAAAGCCAGGTACCGGAGATATAAACTTTTTAAAGGATAGCAGATGGTAAGCTCCAAGTTGGTGTATCCTCACTGCAAGGCCCCATCGGCTGGGAGGAGAGTTCAGAGGAAAACCCACATGGGTGGACTGGAGAGCCAGTGGTGCAACACTGGGCAAATGCTCCCATTCTGCTTGACTGCTGAAGATGAGGTTGTTCCACCATACTGAAGCCACAGTCACAGTGCCTCCGCCCACTCCCCCCCCACAGCCTTCTGTCCCCTCCTTTGCACCAGTTCCTCAGAGGCTGCGTAAGAGCCCTGGACGGGCTGGTTATGGCCCCCAGGCTTTATGTCTGACACCCTTGTTCTAGTTATTTGGCATAGACTAGCTTTATGGACTGGAAGAATTATAGGGTGATGTAAATTACTACTACTACTACTACTAAAATGATGATGATGTTTGTGGATTCTGGTATGAGAAGAGTAGGGCACATGGTTTTGCTACACGTTCAACACTGATCCTGGAAGCCAGACCCCCCACACACACACATACACAGTGGGGCTGACTGGTGCTCAATCTGAATCACTGAGAAGGACCAGGACCAACTGAACTCCTGGTTAGAGTTTACAAGGAAAGGGAAAGATGTATCTCTGCAGGGAAAGCTGCAAAAGAAAGTGTCTTCTTCTCTTGCAAGGGCCCTTTTGGATCCCATCCAATAATTATTTTCCCCACCATATGATTTCTACACTTTCAGAAAACTGCAGAACTAAAACTCATTCTGGTCATTCAGAGGCATGGTGGGTTTTAACCCTGTGGACACACAGCCCCTTAGGCAGCGCTTTCATTGGCACCCTGCCACAGCTGCACAGCCAGCACATGGGGAATGCAGAAAACATTCTGCTTGTCTTAAGTGCCGTCAAGTCGCCTCCGACTTATGGTGACTCTATGAATTAATGTTCTCCAAAATGTCTTATCATTAACAGCTTTGCAAACTGAGTGCCGTGGCTTCCTTTGCTGAGTCAATCCATCACAGCTTTGCTCAGGTCCTGCAAACTGAGTGCCGTGGCTTCCTTTGCTGAGTCAATCCATCTCATGCTGGGTCTTCCTCTTTTCCTGCTGCCTTCATCTTTTCCTAGCATTAATGTCTTTTCCAGTGACTCCTGTCTTCTCATAGTGTGACCAAAGTATGATAGCCTCAGTTTAGTCATTTTAGCTTCTAGCAGAAAGCATTGCAATACTGGAAATGTTCTTCTTCCCAAGATTCCCAAGAAGTTAATATTTTAGGTATCCCTTGTATAAAACATCAACATTTATAGTCAATACATAGAAGACTGCTTCAGACCTCAATCTCTGCTTACTCAATGAGCCATCCCCTTAAGGCTTCAGTTCAATACTGTTGGCAACAAACACCTCAACAGCATGATGTCATTTCAGAATATTTGTTGAAGTGTTGTTCATTTGTCAAATTTAGTTGTACAATTTCCCAAACAATTTAGGTATACTTGAGATTCAACTCTTGGCTAAATATCTGGTTTCTACACCAAGCATTTGGCTGGAATTCTAGATGTATCCTTTATTTGTTTTCAAGATACATTGATACAAGCTTTCATATCCTTCATGTTTCTAACTATCCAAAGTGGTGGTTAAAAAAGGAAGACAGTGATTCATCTTCTGCAAATGTAATTTTTTTCCAATCATTCTTCCCAAACACACCTTTTCCTGTAAATGATGTAAAGTCTAGTGTCAGCTTTGCACTTTGGGGAACTGGCCCCATGTCCTTCACGCAGGGACAGAAGGCAAAAAACTGAACCATAACACTAAAATTCAGAACCTAACAAAGGTTAGTAAAATGTGAAAAAGAGGGCCAATATTAAAAACTAAATGTAAAAGATATATAGAAAAAGCTACATGTATTTATTAAGTACAAATTTAAAACATAATATATAAGGGCCCATTCACATCAAATGTATATCATTTCAGCTAAAACCCTTGAAAAAGCAACCCAACTCACCAAAGATTCTTGGAACATGACAGGAATTTAATAGGGAGGTGACAACATGGTTTGGGGAGGGAGGTTTGCCAGCTGGAAAAGCAAGAAGGAAGCTACCACTTAATGTGCATGGCTTTTCCCACAGGCTTCTTTGCACTGAAACCTCCCTGAGAGGAAGGCAATGTGTATATCAGGACAAGAATATAAAAGTAGATATTGTACTTGCTGGAAAACTTTAGAGATGTTAGATTATCATATTTATCAAGGAGAGTCACATGATAGTAGAGTTAATAAGGAAGTCTCCTTTCATCTAATTGATTCTATTTGGGTCAAATTTCAGATGAGACCGTCTCAAAATTATTACAGCATATTACTCTCTGAATAACCCATAGATAATGGGTTCTAGAAAACCTGAAGTAAAACTTGTACAGCAACTCTGCCTTGTATCCATTTCAGTATGTAATTAGGATTCTTACCCTTCTTAATTAGATTGAGGACTTTCAACATTGCTGGAATGATTAAAAGAAGAAGATATACTTTTTTAAGGGGGGAGTGTATTTCGGCTCTAGTGCATTGACATATAAATGACTGAGCATGAACACTAAGGCCATACATAAGACACAGACTGTCATTTCACCCTCTGTGTTTGGGTAGTCGCTTTTGACCTATCAGTAATATTATACAAAACAACTATTTTTCTCTTGGCTACCTTTTCCACTTGTGCATGAGGAGGAACATTTTCTGCCATTTCCTGCCTCTCATACCATTCCCAAGGTGCTTTTAAGGCTACAGGAAAATGCTTTTGGAAGAAGGAGGCAGAAAAAATCCATTCTGTGAGCAGTGTTCTGGTTGTGGTTCTTTAGAGCCAACCATTTATCTTTCTCCCCAAAAACAGCCTCCTGGTTTTTAAAGCAGACCAGCTATTTCAGAGCAAATGAACAGTCTAGAAGTAAAAATCCTTGAACAATGTACAACATGGAGTAGGAAGGCCTGGCAAAACAACCTTTAGTATGAGAATAGCTCTAATTTGCTGTTTTCATCTGTGACGTGCTGGAAGGCATGACTTGAAAAGGATTTCAAACCTGTTGAGAAATACTTGGAAGCAGGCCCGTACCTACCGTGGGGCCCTAGAAGCAACACCCCCTCCCTAACCTGCCCTTCTCCCTCCCCCCACCCCGAGTAGATGGGAGGCTTAGCCTGGCTCAGCCCTTGGCAAGCCTTTCTGGTCCAAGGGAGGCAGCAGCAGGAGACAGCCCTTGCCCACTTCTTCCTCTAGTACATCGCAAATCTACTTGGCTGGCTGCTGGGTGCATCTCGCTTCCTGAGGGACCCAACCCTGCCTGGTGCCTGAGTGCCGGAAGAGCTGCTGCCTGGTCTGGCCTGGGCTAACCGGCCTTCCAGTTGCCTCCAACCTGCTTGTCACTTTGGGTGGTGAGCAAAAGTTTTCGGCAAAGAACAGCCGGGATAGCCAGTGACCCAGACAAAGCCTTGCATAGGCGGCGATCAGGAGGGGGGGTGTACAGCGATGTGCCAGAGGTGTGCCGTGCTGCACCAACCCTGCTAGGGCTTGGACATGGGTACAGGATGAGCAGAGGGGAGAGGGAGGGCCAAGAAGCTGGCGGAGGTGCAGCTGAGTGCTGGCATCAGCCTGGAGGGCCATGAGGAGGGCTTCGTCTCCACCTTCCAGGAGAGCCTCCACTCCGTCAGCTGGGACCTGAGGTGAGGAAGCCTGCTGTAGGTGGAAATTTGGGGCAGGGGGGAGAGAAGGGGGCAGCCAGCGGAGCACCCCCCACGTGCCTATGTCACTTCTGTCACTAGCTATGGGACTGCTTGGAAGATACATCAACAATCATCAATGTCTATATAGAACATTGCCCAGAAACAGAAGAGAATGGGCACATCCACACATTCTCTGTATGCACATTTAGAACACATATACCAAAATTGTAAACAAAAAGGACCCTAAACAATTAAGGTGAAAATCCAAACTATATTCGCCCAGTGTTCCATTTTACAAAAATTGTCATAAAAATACATGGATAAATATACAAAAAAGACAGTTAATAATAAATATATAGCAATCCTGAAGAAGTCTAAGAAGCTTTCTTATATTGGTGTCAAGACTGCCAAACAACCATATCGTTGATTCATACATGACAACAAAGAAAGTATTCAAAATGAATCTTAAGCTTGGGAAACTCAGATAGACAGACAGATAGACAGGATTTTTGTATAATGGAAAATTGTAAGAATATATCTAGGATTTCCATGTTCATTGGTAGGGTCCTTTTGTTCATAATTTTGGCATACTGGCTTTTAAGGACCTGCTCCTCTCTCCCTCTCTCTCTCTCCCTCCCTCCCGCTCTCTCTCATCATTAGTAACCTGATCATCACCTAGTTTTACAGAAGACCCCTTAGGGAAGGCAGTAGGATAATCCTACACCATAAGCATCAAAGTCACCTGCTGGCACGTTCAATATTGCACCTGACCATCCTCCTCTTTTTCCTTTGGATGTGAGGACAAAGAATACTTTGTCTAAGGGAGTCTTCAAATGTTGAACCGTGGCATGATTCTGACTGGGTGTGATAGGGCTAGAAACTTGTTTTAGATAAGTAGGTAGGAATTCTCAAGATTCTTAAACACACATCAGACAAGGTCACCTAACTCTGCATGTTACATACTAGTGACATGTTACTTACTAATCCAAATATGACTTACGATTATTACAATCATCTGTGTTGCTTGTGCAGGAGGAGACTGCATGATGACAGAGGTCTGCAGGTTTCGAGAGCTCACTGGTAAATGCTGGCTGACAAGAAGTATCCGTGTTGCAGTTTGTTTGATTTTCACTAGTCCTTGATAAATCCAAATTTGGCCGGTTTAATCCATGCACACAATCCTGGTAAACTAGAGGTGAATTTGATCTGTTAAGGTGGTTTAATGACATCTGTAACAGAGCTTCATTTATGAAGACTGAACTTTCACCACAAAAACTGTCTGATCGATTATGTCCCATGATCTGCATACACAAAAACACACAAACAAAATAAAAAATAAATCCATATTTCAATTTTGTATTTGTCATCATAGTTCTTTTTTCTATACTTTGGCATCATTAAATAGCTGAAGATGAGAGTAAAAATCAGAACAAAAATCCACTATATTCATCTGTTGCCAAGAATCAAAAGCAAAGATTATGAAAGAAATGCAAGAATTTTTTTTACTTTAGTCTTCTTTCAGCATTTAAACTGTTTGGGACATCACCACCCCTTTTGCAATGTAATTATTTGCATGAAGAAGAGGAGGAGAAGGAGGAGACTGGGTTTACACCCTGCCCTTCACTACCAGAAGAAGTCTCAGAGTGGTTTACAATCTCTTTTCCCTCCCCCTCCCCACAACAGACACCCGGTGAGGTAGGTGGGGCTTAGAGAACTTTGACAGAACTGCTCGTGAGAGAACAGCTCAGAAAGAACTTGTAACTAATCCAAGGTCACACCAGCAGTTGCATGTGGAGAAGTGGGGAATCAAACCCGGTTCTCCCAGATCGCACTCTTAACCACTACACCAAACTGGCTCTCAGGGACTCTTTACTACTAGTAATATACTCTTCACTACTAGTAATATACCATGATTATCAGTCCAGGCCTTTTTGCTGGGTGATGTAAGTAACAAGTCCTATTGTCCTCACCAAAAGCCTTCTAACACAGTCCTGCCCATCGGCAGCAGTCCCATTCATGTTATTCATTATGCTGATACAGACCAACCTCAGCCACTGAGGACTGGGAAGTGACTTCCAGTTTCTCCTGAAAAGTCCATGTAAAAAGTTGCTACTGGACAAGTCCACCCTTTGGTTTGATCTGTGATACCATTCAAAGCAATCTGATACTATCAGTGGCAGCTGTTTCACACAAACAACTTAGGATAAGGTGGGAACAGCCGCACAAGCCATCAACACAGTCTTCTGCACACTGGCCCAATAAAGACAATGAGCCCAAAGTAAGCGTCAAATTAAGGGTTAACATTGGCCCCACTGAGAGCTGCTGCCCACAGAGAAATCCACTGCCACTGCAGTATGTTAGAAGCTCTTGAGTGGGACCAGTTGCATACTGGGCTGGGAAGAAGTCACAAGGCTGGCTCTGCCTGTGCAATCCGACCTTTTCTTAACCTTCTTCACTTTTCTTTATTTTACAATGAAAGTTTAATTTGTTTCAAATTGTGATTATTTTTTTTAACATAAATGATCCTTCACTCAAATTTGTAACATCTTAGATAGCTGTTTAGAGGAAGAAAGCAAAGATGAAGGATGCTTCCCTCTCCTGTAGCACCTCCCCATAATTCTGGGACATACAATTCATAGTTGATTTGTGTTTAAGCAAACAGAGCTCCTCATCAGCAACAGCAAGACTCCAAGACAACAGGAACATGAGGTGCAGCAGATGTGCCTTCCCAATTTGCCTAATTTAATTATCCTCCTCCCCATAAGGAGAAAGCAGCTCATTCCTATATCCTCCCTTCCTCACATTTTCCAGTCAGTACAAACTATGCCCCGTTCCCCTCTTTCCAATCTCTAACTCCTTTCATTGTAGAGATATAAGGGGAAAGGCATGTCTTTACAATAAAAAGTGCTTGAGACTTACTTTTTAAAAAATGAGAGGTGGGATTTCAGAGAAACTGATAGACCCACTGTTATATTAATTGCAGTATAAAGAAGGAAAAGAAGAAGAGTTGGTTTTTAAACCCCACTTTTCTCTATCCTGGGAGTTTCAAAGCAGCTTATGATTGACTTCCCTTCCCCTCCCCACAACAGTCACCATGTGAGGTAGGTGGAGTTGAGAGACCTCTGAGAGAACAGTGACTGGCCCAAGGTTTCACGTGGAAGAGGAATGGGGAAATCAAATGTGGTTTTCCAGATTAGAGTTCGCCTTTCTTAACCACTACACCACACTGATATTCAATTGTCCATTTTTAAACAAACAACCCACAGTCATGGGATGTGTGTGGCTGCTGTGAGAACTAGAGCAGAGAAAATTGCTGTGTGCATAAGACCAGGAAAATCTGAACATTCTCACCTACATGGAAGCCTTCCAGGACTTGCTATGATCTTTCCCAAAACACTGAAGCAAAACAAGTTTGGGAAAGACTGCAGAAAAGATGGGCAAACCCTGGGAAGTGCCCAGAGCACCAAGATGCTATGGGAAAGTGGGGGGGAAATTCACTTCTCAATAACATCTAAGCCAGGACAAGCAATCTCCAGTGTGACATCGAAGTGACTTCATTGCGTGCAGTGGGGGTGATGCTCTAGCTTTTCTCCAAAACTCTATGGCTTAATCATAGAGTTTGGGCCAAATGTTAGAGCGTCACCTAGTGTGCCATCACTTCCAGGTCATGCAAGAAGTAACATCATCATGCCGGGAACATCAATCACAACTCCCTTCTTTTGCCTGGGCATTTCCTCCCATTGCCAGGCTAACTGACAGCAGGCACCGGGTGCTGGAGCTACGAGATCCTCCACCCCCACAGAAGGAACCTGGCAACCCTATTCTCTACCCTTCTGTAACAAGGAGAGAGCCCTGACCTGAATGGCCCATCCTAGCCCAATCTCATCAGAACTTGGAAGCTAAGCACGGTCAACCCCGCTTAGCACTTGTTTGGGAGACCACTAAGGATGTCCAGGGTTGCTATGCAGGGGCAAGCAATAGCAAACCACCTCTGTTCATCTCTTGCCTTGAAAATTCTATGGGGTTGCCATAAATCAGCTGCAGCTTGATGGTGCTTTATATACACACACACCAGAGAGATGAGCAAACTGGCCTGCCACAAAGTATTATGGTAAGGATTACAGAGACAGCAAATGTTAAAGTGATTATAAGAGATATTAAGGGATTTTACTCTGGATAAAGTCTTGCACGCCTCATTGTCCCCTGGAGAGATTACCCCAGGCAGATTGCTTTGGTGGCTGTGCTTCCAGTGGCGCAAGATCTTGTGCTGTAACTTCACTGTTTCTCGCTCCTTCTCCACCATCCTTTGGCTCTCCCGGAGTCTCTCCAGGTTCTGCTGGTAATCCTGCAGTTGGGCATCCAGCTCTTCTCGGTTCCTGCAAAGCAGTTCCTCCTGGCTTAAGCACTCCTCCTCCCTCTCCAGAAGTTGGCTCTCCCTTGTCAGGTGCTCCTGTCGCTGTTGCTCACATTCCCGGTTCCACCGTTGCTGCTCTTGCTGAAACTGGTGCTGAACCTTCTGAACATTTGCCAGTTCCTCCTTCTGTTTAAAGGTCCGGTGCTTTTCTGGTTCCAAGACAGAGGTGCTACGAGAACTGGGACTCCAGCTGAATCTTTCATGTTCTTGTAGAAGAAGCTTATGGATTCCAATGTGACTATCCTGGATGGCTAAGGCTGCCTTTTCATCAAAGCAAAACACCGTTTCCATAAATGAAAGAGACAGAATTTAAACATTAGTGCTTTCAGTGGAAGGGGAAACCTATTCATCACACAAGCTCACAGTAGTGCAACATAGGCGGATTTGTTCGATATTCATTCCACTGTTTTCCTCCTTCAGTAAATATTATGCAGCAGTTTAATGCCACAGAGCTCAGAACTTCTGCCTCAGTGGGCTTCACCTTAATCCTTTGCAGGTCTTGTTTTGTGGAACAGTGAAAACAGACAGATAACTTGAGTAAGGTAGAAATGTTTGGACATACATTCTGTGTCCTGAAAACAAATGTCTAGGAATACAAAAAGAGGTGCATAGAAACAATTTCTACCACTCTTCATAACAAGGTTTCCTCCTTACTCTGTCTCACTGCTGGTGTGTGCAAGAAACAGAACCAGCACTGCTGATGTTTGTGGTCCACAGGCAAATCAGAGCTCACAAACTTGAATCACCCATGAACTGACTCCAAGGAAAAGCTGTCATAATAAAATGATGTGGACTGGATCTTGCCTAGATTTTCACTGCCTCCAATCTCCCACAGCAACCTATAATGCCCCCTGAAATACAATCCTCAAGTATTCCTAAAAGCCTCAGTTTCAAACTACATGATGCATTTTTGGTAAGTTGGGCTGGGGTTCCCAGGACACAACTCTCTTCCTCTGCAATCACACAGCAGCTGTGGGGTGAAGCATTTTTAAAATCCCCAGGAGCCCAATTCTGCTCAGAACTGTGGCCTTCCCCTCCACACCATTTTTCTGATCCATAATGGCACTGGCAGGAAGTGATCTGAATAACTCTGGAGCTGTGCATGCTCCACATGAAGCTCTAAAAGTTATGCAAATAACTCCCTGCAGAGGCTCTTTTAGATCTGGAAAATGACATGGAGGGGGAGGCAGGAGCTCCCCCTCTCCCCATGCCACAGTTCTAAGCGGCTCTAGGCTCCTGAGGAGTTTAAAAATCCCTTTCCCCACAGCTGTTGTGGACTGCAGGGAACGTATGTTAGGTCTGGGGAACCCCAACCCAACTGGCCAAAAAAGTAACATGTGGTTAGGCCCTTATACAGTACCATCAAGAAGACAGTGGAACTCTATTGAGTGGGGGCTTCTCCCACTGAAAATATATTAGTGCTCACTCATGCCATCCCAAACAAACAGAGACCCTCTGCTCCTCCTGCATAAAAATCCAGTGGGGCTAAACTGCTTCTTCTTAAACTAGTAAAAGGCCAGTGTAAGGCCCCTGCCAAAAGTGATGGACCAGGCTTATACACTTGGATCCTATCCCTTATTTTGGCTTGCACAGCACTGTTCTCTGGCACAAAGTGGGTTTCTCTAGAATAAGGGGTTTCTGTTCATGCAAGGGCAGCCCTTCTCAATGAGCAGAAAAGCCCCAGGGTCACAGAAACATGCTCCACAGCATGTCTCTCTGCAATGGATGAAGAGCAGCACAAGCAGAAGGAAAGGAGCCATGGCTGTCAGGAAAAAGCCAGCTAGCATCAAGTCCAGGAGCACCTAGAGTCATACACGGTTTTTGGTGTATAAGCTTTCGAGAGTCAAAGAAGCTGTTCTAACTGCCAGCCAACATGACTACCCTCTGAAACTAGGAACAAAACAATGATCAACAGAGGATTTCTAAATATAAAGTTTATAAGTTTAAACAAAGTTTAAAATGTTTGATTGTATTTTTCTTTAAATGTGAGCTGTCTTGGGCATCTGATGAAAAAACAAAGTTCCCAAAGCAATTATCACCTGTATACTGTACAAGAGACGGGTTAAATTCTGGATAGTCTGTACAATCTAGAGAGGGGAGAAAAAAAGGAAAAGGTTTTTGCTTTGCTTTGTTTTGTTTAGAAGACATGGCAAGTTTAAAGCAAACAACAGCAAAAGGTTTTGTGGCTGACCTGACTCACCTCAGTCTGTGTCGAAGTAGGGAAACATGTGTCTCCTTCCTACAGACAGACAGAAGTGGAATTAGTTTTTTTTGTAGAACTGGACTGCCACCTTCTGGCGACTCAACTACAGTATCTGGACATTTCTATAGCTCTGAAACTGCACCAATGTGCTTAATCTAGGAGAATACCAATAGTTTATAATGCCAAATATATGCATTCATAGTAATTAGATATTTCTACACCACTAGTTTTCCTCATATACAACAAAATACATGTAATTTTTTTGCTACTGAAAAGTGGATCGGCATTTGACAGCTAAAGTACGTATTACGCTTGCCATATGATCACCATGGGCACTTGCAGCAGGACCCTGATTAAAAAGTACCACAGACATTCAAATGTTGTTAGGACTGTGGTGGGGGGGCAGGTCTGCAGCACTTGTATACTGAGTTACCCTGGGGAACTCACAGCCGATATCCAATGTTCCCTCTAAGCTGTGGAGTCTTGTGAGCAAAAATTTGACTCTGTGAGTGGCTGGCATTACACTTGTGAGCAAGAGATTTGGCTACTGCATAAATTAGTTTGCTCTAAGGGCCATCCTTCCTGAGCTAAGACAAAGATGTGTGAGCCAGAAGCTAAAAACCTGTGAGCTAGCTCACACTAACTCAGCTTAGAGGGAACATCCTGCTGCAAGTCCCCATGATGACAACGTGGCAGAAGTAATGTGTAGCTTGTCCCATTAAAAATTCCAAATTCTGAATGCAAAATAAATCATACAAGATTTAACATATGTTTCCATTTTTATTCTTTTTAAGAATTCAGTTTTTAATTTGTTTAATGAACAGGGGGTGAATCCAACTGACAGAGGATGGGATATGGAAAAAGTGGCAGTAGGAATAGAGAGAAGGACTGGGCACTGGGCATACCACATTCTAAGACTGTGCATCACCCCTGTACACGTGCAGAGCATATATGAATTTTAAAGAAAGCATCTCAAATGCAGTACCTGATCCAGGACATCAACTTCTGCTATGCTGTTTGGATCACGAACATCTGCCTCATAAGGCTCGTCTCCCTTTATTTCTGTTACTAGTGATTAAAAGTATCAGGAAAAGATGAGAGTCAAACACATGTGAACCACATACATGCACTCATGGATCAAGTGTATTCTCTGATTATAAAATAAATGAACCTCCTATACAGAGGTAATGTTGTACCCAAGAAACAGAATTCTCTGATTTGCATACATTATTCAAATTAACAAACATAGGCCCACGCTTGTGCACTTTGCTTTTCACTATAAGGTCAAAGAGCTTCCTAGCTATTGAAAGAGCACCCCGATTGCTGTCAACTGAGTACACACTTCCAAAGGCTTTCTTTTCTTGCCACCCAATTGGTATAATTGGGTGACTCAACATACAAGATGCTCTATTTGTGTGGGCAGATCGTATATAAGCCTTGAATGTAGTCAGGAGCCCTATTACATGTACAAGTTTGGGGCACACGTGAACTGGCCCCATCCATTCATTACAATATTACAGCAACAGAAGTTATTAACAGAATCTGCCATGAAAATCTTTAAGATTCTTCTAAAATGAGAAAGTATTTTCAATTGAACAGAGCATCAAACAGTGCATATCAGTTTAGTTCATAGACTTTGAATAGAAAATAATTTAAGAAAGAATTTTGAAAGCAGCAACATATTTGTCATTTGTGTTGAAAGCCCCAAATGTCCAGCAACAATTCCTCTCACTTCAATGGAATTGTTCCAGACTAACATGGTATTACCTACCGAAATATAACTAAACCACTTTAGTCTAATCATTTGCTGTACTGTTCTGATTCAGCAGAGAACCGGCTGTGTTACTGAGGGCCTGCCAACCCACCAGGAGTCAGATTTTGATCAGGATTTTTTTTTGTTTTCCTGAAAAACCCTGGATACACTTGGAAAGCTGAAATACTGATAAGGTATTTTTCGGATATAGTTTTGGCTCTGGTAGATATGAACGCACATCTCTACACTATATCTATTTAATTTATACTTAAATGGTCTGTCAAGCCATTTTGAGCAGTCCTGTCATCCTCCTTGTCTAGCACACAATAGTGCTCCTATTTTGCTATATGCAGATGATGCAGACTTATTATTACACACTTGTATTAGTTTACAGAGATCCTTAAATCTTTTTTCTGACTACTGTTACATAGAAGGTTTGACAGTAGACTGCCAGAAGTCCAAGGTAGTGGTTCTTATTTTAAAAAAGGACTCCTGATACATACCGTTGGCCCTTGAGGCAGGGTGAATTAAAACAAAGAATTTTATCACAGAATCTTATTTGCACCTAATCTAATCTGTATCAAAAATCTGTGAGAAACAAAGTCAAACAGTGTATTGGAGGTATTTTGAGCTTCTTTTGAACAAGGAGGAGGAGATATGCACCAGGGACTATTCAAACTTTTAATCTAAAGGTAATCCCTATTATTTTATATGCGGTAGAAATAAGAAGTAAGGTGGTCAGGGAATCTACTGACTTTCCACTTCTTTACTTCCTTAAAAAGCTGCTAAATATGCCATTCTGTGTTGTTGATGCAGTTTTGCATACTGAATTTGGTGAGCCATCATTGGAGGCTAGGACATTGATACTGGCATTTAACTTTAACTTACTTTTCTGCATCAACGGCTATCTGGACTTATTGAAGGAGGATTCTTATAAATCATTATGGCTTAGAATCATGGACAGGAAACTGTTGGCTACTGGTTTTATCACAGAATCTGTCAAGGAATTGGGGCTCACTGAATCAGCAATTACAATTAAAAACCAGATTAAGCAGATTGATTTCAATAGTTATATTTTTCATGCTTGACGAGTTTGTTCTTCACAATTTCTTTGAATCTCCCTGATTCTCTTCCCTTCTATGCTTATAATCTGACTTCACTTGGTCTGCTCAGAGCTTTGACACTTGCTAGAATGAATGCCCATTCAGCTGTGGTTACGAGAGGATGCTTTTTGCATCTTCCCTACTCTGATAGAATTTGCTCTTGCTGTCTTGGTAAAATAGATTCAATCTCTCATATTCTATTGGAATGCCCTCTATATTCTAATTTGATGCCATTTTATTCTACCATGGCCGGTGAATTTCAATTTTAATCCAAGCAGAGTGGTCCGCTTCCTACTCTCATTTTAGTATATGTGCTTCCGAAGCGAGCACCCCTTTCTCCTCTCAGATGAAAATCCTAATATAACCTTGGATGTTGCTAAAAAAAATTAATTCCTTTTGAATTTTGGAAAATAAATAGAAATAAATAAATAGAAATAGGAACCCGCGATACTCGCGGGGGGAGAAGAGCTCCACGCAGAGCAGCAGGAGGAGGCAGCAGCAGCAGGTAAGCTCTCCCCCCCCCTGTCCCTGGACACTGGTGGCATGGCCTGAGTGGCTTCCAGCCGCCGGGCCCCACCAATCTCTCCTCCTGCTCCTTCACCCTCCGCAGGTCTCCTTCCCTCCCCCTCCAGCTCTGACGGCCACTCTCCTCCTCCCCTCCCACCTCGGCTCCGGTGGCGCGGCCTGAGAGGCTTCCAGTTGCCTGGCCCTGCCAATCTCTCCCCCCCTGCCTCCTTCACATGTTTTGTTTTACACTTTGATAGGGTGAAATGTAAAAAGCAAAATGTTGAAATTTAAGTATAGCATCTTAAAAGCTAAAGGTCTTACTAACAGTCAGTCATAGATTCACAGACATCAGTTGCAGGAAGCTCTTCTGTCAGGCTTGATTCTCTAGTACTCTCATCTGTTGCCTGGCTTGTGTCATTTGTCGGTGTTGATGCTACAGCTACATGAAGGCTTTCCACTGTAGAAAGAACAAGAGTTCAGGGGGTTAGTCCAAAGAGGGGAGGGGAGGCAAACAGAGGGACAACGTTCCAGGCCACTCATAAATTTGTGCAGATCACATGGTTTATTTTTAGACAACTTTTGAATTAGATGGGGGGGGCACAGAGGGAATGTTTGGCTGCTTCTGTATTGGGACATTTCCTGGCATGGGGAGCAGGAAACATCCACAGTAAAGGGGAACATCCAGGCAGCATTATGCCTAACCTGTGTATGACTGCAGGGTGGCTGTCAGTGGAGCAGCAATTTGTATACTGCCCTACAGCCCCCATGGGGTGTGCGGGGTTGGGCTATTCCTCCCTTGTCAACTTGTTAAAGATTTTTTCCCCCATGTATTTAATGAGCACACTGTAGCATCACAACATAGCTGGGGGGGGGAAGGAAAAAACAGTTTGCGGGTGTAGGCCGCAAGGCCCCTGTGCAATGCAATGGAGTGCCATGGAGAATCATGAACCGATTCTGCATCTGGCATTCGCTCCACATTTTCTCAACACTGCGGAAAAGGTGCAACTCAAAACCACATTAAAATACTCTGGGGCAATGCCCTACTGACTGCAAAGTCACCCCTGAATGGCCATAAATTTATGCAGAAGGTACCATAAAATCCAACGATCAAAGGAAGTGAAAACAGCATGCAATGCAGAGGGGAATTTCTGTTCCAACATGGGTTTGGTAAAACAACGGAGGGAGAAGCCAATGCAGAATCGCCCATGGTGCAGGAACTAGGTGTGTGGATGCCATTCCAAACTATGCCAATGCAATTTCCTGATGCTACCACAGCGAGGCTGTGTTTTCATGCCCATTTCTGGAAGCAGCCTTTGTCTAAAGCCCCATGTGAGCTCTTGGCTGTCCTGAATCAGTCCACAATTTTGACTTTATTTCATATGTCTGTGAAGTAAAAAGTCTTCCTGATGGTGACTCTGATGTGACTAGAATGAACCATTTCATTTTCTCCAAGTGGAAGAGTTACTAACTGAATGAATCTGAATTCTGTTCATTTGTTAGATTACGTTCCCTAATTTCTGAATGTCTTTGCTGATGCATAAACATTTTAATGAGTATCTTAGCAGCAAGAGGGCTTTTCTGAGGTGAACTAAAAGGGTAATCTTTAATAGCACTCGATGTGGAAATATGTTGACGAGGCAGATTTTATAGTAAGTGGACTGGCTTTTATCCAACCTCACCATCATTAAAATGCCCTGAAAATATGTGAAAATAAATTTGCTCGTGCTATCGATCAAGACTCTTTGCAAGGGCAAAGTTCCTCCCTTCATTAGAAGAATAATTTACACATGCATAGACTATGTGTACAGCCCAATTATTTTGTATGCATGGCGCTCAGCACTGTACACAAAAACAAATCCGAAATCCATGCACTCCGGTATTTCCAGTACTATACCACAGATAAACTTACCACTAAAGTAGGAGCTCATGGAAAATGCATAAAATATAAATCCATTTAAATTTTAATTCTAAAGATCTCCTGTCGCCAGTTACTTTCCAGGAGAAATTCAAGATGCTTGTTCTAACCTTGAAAGTCCTACACAGCCTTGCTGTGGGGTATCTAAGGTGAGAGTAAATCTTCCCCAATATTTGCCTCCCAAATCTTGAGACTGGAAAACAAGGGCTCCTTTGCAGTTGCCATCCACCATCAGAAATAAGTCTGGCCATGACCAGGAACCAGGGCTCTAGTCGGGGGGGAGCTCTCAGGTACGGAGCTCCGGAAGAGAACCTCTAGGGGGCGGGGCGGTCACGTGGTGAAGCCCCGCCCCCTTCTTTACCCCGCCCTCTGCTTCGATCCTCATTCCGTTTGGGAATGAGGATGAAGCAGGAGGGTAAGTAGCCAGGCCTTCTGACACACTTCCGGTGATGTCAGGGGGTGTGGCCTTCTGTCACTTCCGGTGATGTCAGGGGGCGTGGCATATGCAAATAAGTTATGCTAATGAGTTATGCTAATGAGCTCCGGCAGCTCTTTTTCTACAACAAGACCCCTGCCAGGAACAACACTTTTATGCTGGTGGTCTCTCAGCTCTGGAATTGGTCCCAAACACTTTTGAGCCTGCGGGCATTTTGCATATCTTAAACATCATCATGTTACATGTTAATTTGCTGTTAAGTCGCTGTCTAAGTTTGAACCTTACCTACCATTCCAATGTATTTGAAAATGTGTGCCTTGCACACGAAAGCACATACCTTGAATAAACCTTTGTTGGTCTTAAAGGTGCCACTGGACTCTAAATTTGTTCTATTGCTTCACTAACACTGCTGACCACCTGGATCTATCTACCTGTTTGAATGTTACATTTATTTTTATTAACTTTTTAATTGTAAGTGGTTTACAAGAAAAATTAAAAACGTTATGTTAAAAAAACCACAATTTTCAAAACTAACCAGTTAAAATAGCATATATTTGGCTCCTAAAGATGTACATACACATAGATGGGCTCCCAAAAGTACCATAAGTAGCTGGTGCAACCCTACCTAAAATTAGTCCAAATATTCTGGAATCTCTTTCTCTCAGTGATTATTGACCTACTCCTCCAACGTAACAAACGGCTTAAAAACACTTTTAAAAAACTAATTCATTACACATATCTACTTATGCAGCAAACATGTGTTTCTGCACACATGCATGTCTGGGTGCACCTGGTGAACAAGAGGCTTCTTTCAAATCATGCACAACTAACTTGACCCAAAAAACAGCCCAAAAACTCTGCAGAATGAGCTTATGAACAGGAACAGACATAAGCAGTAGCACTGGAACAGTGGGGAATAACCGGAGACAAACCAAAGTGTTATGAAGTGAATTATGAAGCTGGTGATAACCTATCCTCAGCAAAAGCACAGGCACAGCTTTACAGCCTTACCTTCCCTCAGAGCTGCAGCTAGAAGTGAAGCTACTTGAGGTGTTTCTCCAGAGTCAGGCTTTATAAATAAATGTGGTTCTACATGAACATCTTCAAACCCACTCATATCTCCAAGCTTTGCATAGATATCAAGCTTATCTTCCAAGCAGCTACAGATCTGTTGGTCCTTGTTACTCAAGATTGCTGTAAGGATGTAAAAACATATATTACATTAATAACCACGTTTACATTAACAACCATGCTTATTACATTTATGGCAATGATTCATATGTTGGGACTGCTATTACCTCCAGTATTACTTTAGAAAAATAAATACTTCAGTCCGTATTGGGGGTCCTTCATGCTGATCTGCAGCCCCATGCAAGCTGTTTACCTGTAGCTAAATCCCATGTGGTTAAAGCCACGTAAAGACAAATGAAATCACATTCTGTGTGAGGGGTCCCACAAACAGGATCTGAAATACCCATCAAAGGCATGGGGAAGAGATAAGTCCAGAACTTACAACAAACAGCATTGCACCAGGCTGGTAATAGCCAGATGGCATGGTAATGTAAAAATAGGCAACTCAAGAGCTTCCGGTTTATGGCAACACCCTGGCGGATGCATCTCCCGGACCTCCCGGGGATGTGATCTGCGCACCAGTGGAAAGGAGGGGGGGCGACGGGTCGCTACCCCCCCCAAGAGCCTTGGCAAAAGGCTCCTAGCCATGGGGTTTTTGAGGGGGTGGCCTCGTCGCCAGTGTGATACTGGGGAATTGTGGCGCTCCTCCGCCCCAACGGTCCTGCCGCTGAGTGTCCATATGGATCTAGAGCCGCTGATCAGGACAAGTGTCGGAGATCAAGTATTTTGAACGTATGCTGAGCGAGGTCGTATGACCAACAATGAACTGTGAGTCGGGTTAAAGCGAAATGTTAATTTAAAAAGAAAGCTACCCCTGGGAACAGCAAAAAAAGCGAGCGGGGAGGGGGCCCTCCCATACGCATGAACTAAGCAACGAAATACTTAGGGGGAAGAGGAAGAAAAAGCATACCAGAGCGCGGATAAGCGTGTGGGCGTATTTCAGAGACTTTAGCAAGTATTCATAAAAGTACAACTTTTACAGCTGCAAATGGAAAAAGCAAATTTGGTCCTACAGTTTCAAGGGGTCCCAGAATTAAAAGGTGAGAGTCTAAAGCAATTCCTGAGTGAAGCATTAGCCCCAGTTACAGATTTGAAAGCAGAGTATCTTGCAAGCGAAATGGATGTGGTCTATAGGTCCTATTCCGTGTACATCAAAAAGAATAATCTGCCTGGGGGAATAGTGGCTAGATTCTCAAAGCGACATGTGAAGGATTCTATCCTGAAAGCAACTACAGGAACACCCTTGAAAATCGGGGACAACACCATCAGGATTCTAAAAGACATTACATTTGAAATAAGACAAAAGAGAAGGAAATATAAAAATTTAAGATTGACTCTGTTTCCAAAGCACATGAGTTCCTAAGACTGCGGCTGAGAGAGCCAGCCGAGGTCGAGAAGGAAGATGACAGCAAATCCAGTGGCGAATTGGACTCGGTGTCTTCCGACAAGGACTCTCTGATAAGGGGGCGGCTGCCCCCAAGCGTACATATAAATTGAGGATTAGAAAAATGAAGACAAAATGAAGGCTGAAGGACTCTGAATTGTGCCTTTAAACTTTAGTTTTATTATGGGATGCTCTGGGGGTTCTCTTAAATGGATAAAACATTGGCAAAAAAGATAAAAAATTTAGCATAGCCGACTATGTTCAAAGTAATACTAGCAATTAAAGATTAACATTTATATAAGCTGTTGTTATGATCTCCTATACTTGGGTTTTTAGTTAGTTGTGGTTTTCTTTACTTTCTCCCTAGATGTAGTTACCCTTTCCAATTTTTTGTTGTAGTTTGTAGTCTATTAAAAAATGCTATAACAAATCCCCTCCGGGGGGCTAAAAAAAAAAAGAATAGGCAAATCAAGACCAGGTGACTCAAGAATGGTTACAAAATTGACTTCCTGAAAGAAACCTGACCTTTTTTAAAAAAATCAATTAATGTGTAGCACTGCTCAAGAACAGCACAATATTTGAATCCTTTGGTAATGTCAGCTGCTGGAAGGTACTGGGTGACCTACTGTAGTCATTTACATTGAAAATAATAGATCAAGGTGGGCAGCCATGTTGGTCTGAAGCAATAGAACAAAGTCAGAGTCCAGTGGCACGTTTAAGACCAACAAAGTTTTATTCTAGGTGTGAGCTTTCGTGTGCACACACACCTTGTCAGACAATGAAATGGAATTACAGATCATAGTTGTATGTGGCTTGTTAAATTAGTATGCAGAATAGTAAAGATGTTTTAAAATGGATCAAAAGAATGACAAGCTCGGTTTCTGGTTATCATGTGTTTGGGCTGGGACAACACAGGTAATAAATATGTCAGAACTGGAGACTGATGTCCCCTAAATTGTGAGAATCCAGTCCTTAGACCCCATTCATCTCCTTTCTAGAATGGAGGCGAACTTTACAGCATTTTGGCTGTGTACAGAATTTTCCTTGTCCCCAAAGCAGAGAATTACATCTAAATTTTCCATTCCAAATTATATTACATATTCAATTATATTGTTAATTGTTAAGAGTAGTAAACTGAGATTTTTTTAAAAAATAAAATTTTGCTTCATTAAAACATGGAGTTAACTGACAGAATCCTTTTCCTAGGGTGTAGTTTTATGTCAAAGATCAACAAAATATTGCATTGCATTACAATCACTATAATAATAGACTATTTTTTAAACACCCATTAAAATATAGGAGATGTATAGCCCTTCTTGGTGAGAATACATATGTAAGGATTAAGTAAATTAGCATATGTAATGTAATAAGAAATCAATATCCCTGTTAAGTCCTGGCAGAGTGTTTGTTCCAAGTGTAATAACTTATAATTCATCTATTTCCCTTTCCATTCTGTTCCTGAAGTTCCTTTGCAATAAAAGAGTTACTTTGATGTCAGCCATTGAATGTCCTGGAAGGTTGAAGAATGTTCCCCTACAGGTTTCTCAGTCTTGTGACTTCTGATATCTGATTTGTGCCCATTTATCCTCTTTGTATGTCCCAACAATGCCATGCCAGGGGAAAATGTTTTTTAGTTTTTTGGGATTTTTTACTAAAAAATACAGACTGTTCATGATTTGTGCAGGAATGAAGGATGACATCATGTGGGGGGAAAGTGCACAACTAGAGTTGATGAAATGAAGAAAAATCTCTGTGTGCAATTAGTATAGTATTAGTATTTCTCTCATTCTTCTCCACACCTTTGTGTATCAGTAACTTCAATATCTAGCATGTTTCATGGATATATGCAATAAGTAACTAGGTTGTCAGTCTTAGCCAATAATCTGCTTTATTTCTGTTATAAATTCAATTTTCATATTCCTAATTTTTTTGTCATAGTAAATTTTTATTTCAAGAGCACTAGGACAAATACCATACCTTGACATTTTTGAATTTTAGCTATTCTGGCTTCAGCTATTCTTCGGTCCTCATCAGATTCATTCGTTTTTCCTTCTTCCTCTGGACAGCTTCAGTGATTAAATTCAAATATAAATAAAGCAAAATCCATTTCTTTCTTTCAGAAGGTGCTTAAGTGTGCATGCATGCATGTTTTTAATCTCTCTCTCTCTCTCACACACACACACGTGTAGTCGTATACCTGTAAGCATTGAAACATTTGCATCCAAGACTACCAGTATGCAGACAGAAGATATAAACCATTTCTGTCATATCACAATGTCCTGAACCAAAGAACCTCCATGGCGGCACTCTTTGACCTTTGGTGACTGTACATGTACTGGTGGGTTTCATAGGCAGCACTACAGTGAGGGAAACAGCACCTCCCCCCCCCCTCAGTTATTCCAGGTGAGAAAATCAGTACAGGGGAAGGCTGAAGCCCCTTTTCCACACATGCTGTGCTCCCAGTCGGAATCAGGGTCCTAAGCAGTTGTGAAAAGAGTTTTCTCACAGCTGACACTTCATGAGGTGACCTCCATATTATGGGGGGGGGGGGAGTTGTGTGTCTCTATTTTCTCCACATCTTGTTTAACTGCATGAACTTCTATCATGGCCCCCTTTATTGCCTTTCTTTCTAAAGAGTTTGTAGTTTTTAGGCATTTTTGTTTTGATTTGCTTTTCTGTACCCATTTCAGTTCTGCAATACCCTTTTGGGTTGAAAAAGACTGCACTCAGTATCCCAAACAAGGCCACATCACAGATCTATCAGACTCATACTATACTGACAGTGGTGTGGACCTAACAGAACATTTCCAAAATTGGAGGGATTTCTGCCAGTGGAATGTGACCTTCTTCCAGGGAATAAGCCTGTTGAATCAAAGGGACTTGCATCTGAACAGACCAACTGGGAGGCCAAGACAGCCCTGGAAAAGCACTCATTCCCATTGCAGGGACCATCATTCTAGTCTAGGGGCTATCATTCCATGTCTTGGGGACTGAGAGTGCAGTCCCAAACTCAGAAATAAGTCCCATTACATTTAATGAGGCTTAGTCCTAGGAAAGAGGATTGCCACTCATTCTACTTTGGGGCTCTGTGTTTGACCCATTCCCTTGGTTTTTTGATCCATTCCTTGTTTTATTTGCAACCTTGCAATGAAGGGAGCAGCTCAGATGTCTTGATCTGCAAGCGTTGCTTGCTGGTGGCAAATTCGCAAGGAGATCAGCCATTTGCTGGACTAATGAACCAATTTTAAGATTGGCTCACCAGATTTACTACCTTTGATTATGGTACGTTCACATGGCAAACTAATTTCATGGTGAAGACTGTAGCATCCCTATTACTGGGGGCTCGGTAAAAGGTAAAGGTAAAGGTTTCCCTTGCTCGAAAGCCAGTAGAATCTGACTCTAGGGTGTGGTGCTCATCTCTGTTTCCAAGCCGAAGAGCTAGTGCTGTCCAAAGATGTTTCTGTGGTAATGTGGCCGGCATGACTAGACACCAAGGTGCATGGAACACTGTTACCTTCCCACTGACGTGGTACCTTTTTATCTACTTGCAATTTCTTGCTTTCGAACGGCTAGGTTGGCAGGAGCTGGGACCAGAGACAGGAGCTCACTCAATAAACAGCATTTCAGGGGGCATTTAAGGTGCAGTGGGAGGGGGAGGTAAGAAAGTTACATTCCATGGATGGAAATCCTTCTTTCCACAGAAATACCCTAGTAGACCCTAGTTTGTGAATAGTGGTATTATTAATAGTGCTAAACAAACTTTCAAAGTGCTTTAATGGCTCATTCACTTAATACCCATAAGTTAACACTGCCTCTAATGACGATCTAATACTACTCCTAAAATGATCTTATATTAAAACTGAGAGCCAGCTTGGTGTAGTGGTTGGAATAGGATCAGGAAGACAACCCCCCCCCCAATGCCATAAATCACCCTAGGTGACTTTGGGCTGCCAGTCACTCTCTCTCAGCTTAAACAAAGACCACACAGGGTTGTTGTTTGGTTAAAATGGAAGACAGGAAATCAATATATGCTGCCTTGAGATCCTTGGAGAAAGGACTAGATAACAATGAAGAAATAAAGTTATTTTGTTAACAATAACAAATAAAGTTATTTTCTTTCCATAATCAAAACCTACAAGGCTAAGCTCAGCAAAATTCTGATGAGGATTCTTACACTGAATAAAACAAGGGGAAAAAATCAAAAGCAATACATAATGCCCAGAATGATAGCCTGTACCTCTCCACAGCCTCTTGAATCTGCCTCATCCAATGGGTGCGTTCCTCTTTGGAACTGGTATGAATTTCATACATCTCAGGCCCTGTGGATGATGCACTAATTAGGAACATCCCTCTCTCTTCATTGGCTACTTCTCTGACAATAAGTTTCTGTAGGGCTATAACAGCAGGTTTTTGGTCCTAAACATAAGGAAGATAAAACAAACAAGAGAATCTTATCAGGAAAACCTCAGGAGTATAATTGCTTTGACAAATTAGATCTTGTCTGTAAAGGGGTAGTAAATAATGATATATCATGCACTTGTATGAATAAAATGTTCATTTTATGGCCTCTACTGTTGTTTTATTGCTCCTTGCAACACATCACAAAATCCTTGGCTACACTTTAAATGTTTTCTACCTGATTAAAACAAAATTATAAACCTCTCTGCATAAGGTCCCGCAGGGCCCTGATCGCCTCCGGGAGCTCGTGCCACCAGATAGGAGCCGCCACCGAAAAAGCCCTGGCCCTAATCGCAGCATATTTAACATCTCAAGGGGCTGGGATGACCAAAAGATGTTTTGCCCCAGATCGCAGTGCCCTTGGGGGAACATATGGGGAAAGGCGGTCCCTTAGGTATGCTGGACCCTGGCCATGTAGGGCTTTATAGGTAAGAACCAGCACTTTGAAGCGGACCCGGTACGCTATTGGTAGCCAGTCCAGCGCCTTCAAGACAGGCTGGACGTGATCCCACCTAGAAAGACCCATCAACAGCCTGGCTGCTGCATTCTGCACCAGCTGCAGCTTCCGGATCTGCGACAAAGGCAGCCCCATGTAGAGAGCATTGCCATAGTCTAACCTCGAGGTGACCGTCGCGTGGATCACTGTGGCCAAGTCATCTCGGTCAAGGTAGGGAGCCAATTGCCATGCCAGCCGCAGATGGTAGAAGGCTGACTTGACAGTGGCTGCTACCTGGGCCTCCATCATTAAAGAGGAGTCCAGGAGCACCCCCAAACTCCTAACCCTCAGCGCTGGCACCAAAGGCGCCCCGTCGAAGGTCGGGAGAGGGAGCCCCAACCCTGAACCGACCCAACCTAAGCCCAGGACCTCTGTCTTCGCTGGGTTTAGCTTCAGTCGACACAGCCTGAGCCAACCAGGCACAGCTTGCATTGCCCGATGAAGGTCATCCGGGTCCGAGTCTGACAGGTCGCCCAACATTAGATAGAGCTAGGTGCAGTGTTCCCTCTAAGCTGAGTTAGCATGAGCTAACTCACAGTTTTTTAGCCCCCAACTCACAGATTTTTGTCTCAGCTCAGGAAGGAGGGCTCCAGAGCAAACTGATTCATGCAGCAGACAAATCACTCGCTCACAACTTTAATGCCAGCAGCTCACAAAGTAGAATTTTTGCTCACAAGACTCCACAACTTAGAGGGAACATTGGCTGGGTGTCATCTGCGTATTCATGACACCCCAGCCCATAACTCCAAGTAATCTGGGCGAGGGGGCACATATAAATGTTAAATAGTATTGGGGACAGCACTGCCCCCTGAGGCACCCCACACTCAAGAGGATGCCTTCAGGAGCGCTGATCCCCAATTGCCACCCTTGGTCCCCGACCTTGGAGAAAAGAGGCAAACCACTGAAGGGCAAGCCCCTGAATCCCCAAGTCGGCGAGGCGGTGGGTCAGCAGCTGATTTGCAGCCGACAGATCTCACAGCAGCAATGCCGCCACACCACCTCGATCCAGATGCCTTCGGAGATTGTCTGTCAGGGCAACCAGAACAGTATCCGTCCCGTAACCCAGGCGAAAGCCGGACTGGAAGGAATCCAGGACTGAAGCATCATCCAGAAAGCCCTGTAACTGTGTCACCACTGCCCTCGCTATCAATTTGTCCAAATAGGGCAAATTGGACACCGGCCGATAGTTGGCCAATTCGGCCGGGTCCATAGATGGCTTTTTTATGAGAGGGCGGACCATCGCCTCATTGGGTGCTCCGGGGAATCGTCCCTCAGTAAGGGACTTGTTGACAATCTCCCACAAAGGACCTCGAAACCCCTCATGACCCGCCTTAATGAGCCAGGAGGGGCACGGATCAAGGTCGCATGTGGTTGGGCGCACAGAAACGAGCAATCTGTCAGCTTCGTCCAGGCTGAGTGGGCTAAAGCACTCTAAACCCGGAACCGAAGACTCGCAAGGGGCCTCGAGTTCGCTCACTGTCTCAATCGTGGCAGGGAAGTCGCAACGGAGCGTCAGGACTTTATCTGTGAAATAGCTCGCAAAAGCCTCACAGCCAATGTCCAATTCCCTATCATTTCGCCTCCCCTGTGGCAGATCTGTCAAGGACCGAATTGTACTAAATAAATGGGCCGGGCATGAGCTTGCAGATGCAATCTCAGCTGCAAAGAAATCCTTCTTAGCAGCCTTGGCTGCCATCTCATAGGATCTCATAAACGTCCTATAAGATGTTCTTGATGCCTCGTCACGAGCGCGACGCCACCGTCTCTCTAGCTCTCTCACTTCTCGCTTCATCAGCCACAGCTCCTGGGTATACCAAGGAGCCCGCCTCAGTCAAGTCCAGAGAGGACACCTGGGAGTGATCTCGTTGATGGCTGCGGAGAGCCGGACTTGCCAGTCCTCCACCAGCTCATCCAACGAGCCACCAGGGGGCCTCGGATCCTGCAGAGCCCTCTGAAACTGCAACAGGTCCATCTGGCTTCGCGGGCGAGCATAAATCTGCTCACCGCCTACAAAAGGTTGGGGTGGAAAATTCAGACGGGCCTTCAGGGCCAGGTGGTCGGACCATGGCACTGCCTCAGCAGAAATCCGATCCACCGCCACCCTCCGCCGCAAAGATCAAATCGAGCATGTGACCAGCCCGATGCGTGGGGACCGATACAAACTGCGAGAGTCCCAACGCTGCCATGGATGACACAAGGTCCGTAGCCCGGCTGGAGGTTGCGTCTTCAGCATGGACGTTGATATCACCCAGGTCAATCAGTCTAGGGTGATCAGTCGGTACACCAGCCAGATCGCCACACTCTCCACAGCCTCCAGCATCATGCCAACACACTCTAAGCCCGCGATCCCCACGGATTGGAGCGCCCTGAAGGAGTAAGCCTCCCACTCCCCCCCTCCCCCTAGTCCATGATTGGCGAAGGACCGAATAACCCAGGGGGGCAAGCTGGGTGAGAGCTACCGTCTCACCCTCCCTCACCCAGGTCTTGGTCATGCACGCCAGGTCCGCCTGATGTTCCACATTGCCGCCAGGTCAAAAAGCAAACAGGATGGTCCACACACCACTCCTGAACCAACAGGCTAAAACTAATGATGCCCTGCTACTAAAAACTAGAATGCTGCTAAAACAATATTAAAACTTAAAACTGCTTAATGTTTACCTGCCTTAAAGATGACATCTAAACTTGTCTTAGTTCAGGAAGGAGGGCTCCAGAGAAAACTAATTTATGCAGTAGTCAAATCACCTGCTCACAACTTTAATGCCAGTAGCTCACAAAGTAGAATTTTTGCTCACAGAACTCCACAGCTTAGAGGGAGCATTGCCGCCAGGTCAAAAAGCAAACAGGATGGTCCACACACCACTCCTGAACCAACAGGCTAAAACTAATGATGCCCTGCTACTAAAAACTAGAATGCTGCTAAAACAATATTAAAACTTAAAACTGCTTAATGTTTACCTGCCTTAAAGATGACATCTAAACTTGTCTTAGTTCAGGAAGGAGGGCTCCAGAGAAAACTAATTTATGCAGTAGTCAAATCACCTGCTCACAACTTTAATGCCAGTAGCTCACAAAGTAGAATTTTTGCTCACAGAACTCCACAGCTTAGAGGGAGCATTGCCGCCAGGTCAAAAAGCAAACAGGATGGTCCACACACCACTCCTGAACCAACAGGCTAAAACTAATGATGCCCTGCTACTAAAAACTAGAATGCTGCTAAAACAATATTAAAACTTAAAACTGCTTAATGTTTACCTGCCTTAAAGATGACATCTAAACTTTGTACAAAAGACCATCTTCAGAGACTAACCTCTTTGCAACTCAGTGAAACATATTTACATTTTATATTCAGTAAAATAAAAGTGAATTTCACCCTGATAAAAAGGTTCAGTTGTAGTCATAATTATGGCTATTAATCAAGAATCAGAGATGCAATTACCAAGTGAAAAGGCCAGGATATGAGAAACTACAACATACAATTAAGCTAATCCAAGCATAAATTAACTTTTTAAAATGTCCATACTTACAACAGCTGCAAATATATATTTCTGATCCTTTTCTTGTAAAAATAACATCACATCATTTAGAAGCAGAGCTAAAATATCTTTTAAAAAGAAAGAAAATGGATAATGTAAATCAAAGAAATAAACACAGACTTAAAGGAGAAAAATGCTTACAAGATTTGCTCATAAACTCTAAGGCACCTTTCCAAAAACAATTTTTAATAAAATGTTCCCTGACCTTAGTCAACAACAAGAACCTAATGTTGGAATGAAGGTGAGACAGTTGGACTTTATAAAGTTTTCACTTCAGAAGGAGGAGGAGGAGGCTGGATTTATATAGCACTCTTCACTACCTGAAGGAGTCTCAGAGCGGCTTACAATCACTTTCCCTTCCCGTCCCCACAACAGACACCCTGTGAGGTAGGTGGGGCTTAGAGAGCTCTCTTGAGAACTGCCCTTGAGAGAACAGCTCTGAAAGAGCTTATGACTGACTCAAGGTCATACCAGCAAATGCATGTGGAGAAGTGGGGCATCAAACCCGGTTTTCTCAGATTACAGGCCACGCTCCTAACCACTATACCAAACTGGCTCCCCACATTAACTGCCTCACCAGAAAGTACATTTAATTATAAGCTGCATATCATTTTCAGGACAAAATTAAAGCCTAAAAGTGATTTGAGAATTATGATGCTATCAGACAAAAAAACTGATTTCAAGTCATATTGCAACCCGACCAATTATTGTTCTGATTCATTACTTCTCTGGAAAAGCGCAGTTGATCAGTCTTCCATGGAGCGGTGGGGGGGAGAGGGGGATGTCAGAAAATTGTAGGAGTTGCCAGCCTTCAAGCCTTGGTTTATGTTAGTAAAATGCATGGGGAGGGGGGAGGGGCACTTTCCAGGGTTGCTTTGGCCTTTGAGGGAAGACTCATTGGCAGCTGCCACACAATTTGTATGACTCACCCAAGCCCAGCTGCTTGCTACTATTTAACAGCAGCCACACCATGATAGCCAGAGTGGTGTAGCGGTCAGAGTTTTCGATTAGGATCTGGGAGACCCAGGTTTGAATCTCCACTCTGCCATGGAAGCTCACTGGATGACTTTGGGTCAGTCACATGCTCTCCGCCTAACCTACCTCACAGGGTTGTTTTGAGATTAAAATGGAGGAGAGGAGAATGATGTAAGCTGCTTTGGGGTATAAATGAAGTAAACAAATGAAGTAAACAAAGGTGGGGAATAAATGAAGTAAATAAATGATAATTATAGCTCAAGATGTGGGGACAGATAAAAGGTAAGTTTGTGGGTGGGTAGGAGGGAAAGAAGAAACAAGAGAAAGGTTAAGATATAGGGGTTGCTAGGAGGAAGAAAAGAGGCAATAGTGGGGAATGGGATACATGGGGAAGTAAGGTGCCCCTTGCACTGCATAATCTGACCATAGTTTTCCCAGAGAAAAGGTGTTATGGGAAGGGAAGGAGGGAAAGCAGAGAGGGATTAGGATATGAAGGCAGGCAGGAGGATGAAAGAAGAAATGGGAAGAGGGATACAGGAGAATGTGAGGTGCCCCCCTCAAAAAGTCCTTACAGGTTTCTCACTGTGCAACTGTGTCTATCCTGGCTGGCACCACACAACTGGGCCCAGCCTGTTAAGTGGCACCATTCAACTCAGCTAGATTTTTCCCAGGAAGAGGATTCCAGAGGGGAGACAAGGAGGGAAAGTTGAAGACAGAGAACAGATAAGTTGGCAGAGAGTAGGAAACAAGAAGAGGGAAAGGGCATGGGGGATTTCAGGAAAAGTTAGGAGGAAATAATGGGGGGGGGGGATGAGATGTCCCCCACTTGTTCGTTTTTTTACTGTACATTTTTCCAGACACAAAATACTTTTTTCCACGCAGACTACTTTTCCAAATGCACATGGTTAACAATATAAACATTCCTTTTTCAAAAATCCCATAAAGTATTAACTTGTAATTAAAAGGTCAAGCACCTTTGAAACGTCCTGTAGCTGTTTTCCAATAGACTAAACCTTCATGCAGAAGGGTCCTCTCTTTCTTGGTCAAATCTTGCTTTCTGAAAACATGGCCAGTTTTCAACTTGGTACACGTTTTGTTTTCAACCTTACTGAGAATTTCTAGCAATTTTTGCTTTTTCTCATATTCATTGACTTGCAAATCCACTGCTGCAATCAAATCCTTGATTAGACCAAGGGCTTTACATAAATCTTGGTGTTCTTCAGTTCCTTCTGTATAAAACCAAACAAAATATATATATATAAATAGAGGACTTGCAGGAAGGCCTTTGAGTGGAATTTCACAGTCCCAAACAAGAGATATAATTTTCAGATTATCTCTGTGCATGATTCATTACCTATAGATTAAATAGTATGCATCCTTAAAAATACTGTGAATTTTTGTACTTCGACATAGGATGCTGCCCTAGAGCAGGATCCAAACAAAGGCCTGAATCCAACGATGTATGAGCAAAAAGAGAAATGTGCTTAGTGTATTTTCATTTGTGCAAACAACAGCACAAGGTCTGCACCAACACACCTCTCTTCGACATAATTTTTAATGAAATAACACACGTATGGTACAATGAAATGTACAGTGAATAGTTTGGAACGTAAAACTGCTGATAATTTTATTTATTTTGTTTCTGAAAGTGTATCAAAAAGATTACCTTGACCTAAATCTTTTCCATGTGGAAAGGATAGTAGCAGCAGAATTGCTTAGTGCAAGAAAACTGTGAGGAGTAATTTTAGATCGTCCGTGTGTGTGACTTCTGCCCATGCAGCAGTTTTCTGCAAGCCCATTGCCATAATATTTTTTTTTCATTTCAGAAATCAAATGGACATTTTTCTTTCATGAGGTTGTATGGAGGAAGGCATGCTACAAGTTTGTAGGGAGTCCAGAAAAATTTTGTTTGGGCTCTAGGTTATACATCTGTAGGTCCTAGGGTCTAGGAGCATTTCCACTTTACACATGTAATTTTTCCTTTGCTTTTAGGTCACCTATCCATTGGGTTTTTCTCTCACTTCTGCACATATTGGCATTGCTTCCATGCTGGCTTTGATTCTTTTCACTTTCCTCCTGCATTTTCTGATTGCTGTTTTGAGGTGATTTATTTATTTATTTTGCTTTGCTTCCAAGTCGATGTGAACCAAAAAGCAGAATGGAAGCATTGGAGTTTACTTCCCTGAACTTCCCTGCCCCTTGATGCCAACCTCACCGCCTACTGAGAACCTGTTCCACCCATCCAACCATTTGTACCACTGTAGACACGGGACCGAATTCTCTTGCACACCTTTCAAATTTTTTACCTGTCCTATAATTTTTTTATTCAGCAATCTGAAACTAATGATAAAACGTTAATCAAACTCCTGCAACTGGAGTCTTTTCACTAGTCTCAGATTACTGAATTTAAAAAAACCCACACAACAGGGGGTGGAATTTAAGGAATCGTTTAATCCCCTGGCTGATATAGGTTTGGTTGGGGTATTGTGGAGAAGGCAAATGGCAGCATCTCCAGTGCAAGAAAAATAGATTTCAGTCCTTTGTGCATTTTTGTGGTGCGGGGGGGGGGGGGATTGTCAGTGGTGAATGAAATTGACCAGAGATGTAAAGTGAGCGGGAAGATAGGATGGGAAACCTGCAGCTTTTTGGTCATTTCTCTTTGTAATGCAGTTGTAATGGAGTGCTGTGCTAATCAATTCCTAGGAGAAAAATCAGAAGGGAAAAAGGTGCAGAGAGCACACACAGCATTCAAATTCAAGCTGCGTGACTCGACTTCGGTGAAAACTGGCAATAAACTGTACGTGTGTAATTGGCCATAATTTCCCAACAATTACCCCAAAGCTCTTTGTACAGTAATTAGACCTTTGGTAACTAAAAACCACAGCACATTGGGTCCTTTTCCTTCCACAAATTAGCAGAGCTACTCTGAGGGAATATAAAATTAAAAAAATTGTTCTGCTGGCACCCTTTAACATCCCCTCATCACACCTTCAGGCTCCAGGGGTGAAAAACTTAGCTGCCACTGCCAAAATTTTACCTTCTAGGCAGGGAACACCTTGGCTTTTCTCCCTCCCCAAATTTATTCAAGAAGGATTCCAGCTTTCTTGCTCTCTAAGTTGTGCCCCATAGCAAAGCTGAACAGCTGAGGTGAGACAATCCCTATACTCTCTGGATCCCTCCTCTCATAGTAGTCTTCCCACAAAAGTGGGAAGGAAACAGGAATTTACTGAAGGAATGGGAGTCAGGAAAAAGTAGGGTTGCCAGGTCCTTCCTGTCCACCAGTGGGGGATGGGGGGTAGTGCTACCAGCACCAGGTCAGGAAACTCCTGGAGATTTGGAGGTGAAACCTGGGGTAGACGGGTACCTCAGTGGGGTACAATGCCACTGACTTCACCCTCCAAAGCAGCCATTCTCTCCAAGGCAACTGATCATTGAAGTCTGGGGATGAGCTGTAATTCTGGTGGATCCCCAGGTCCCACCTGGAGGCTGGCATCGCTAGGCAAAAGCAACTACCAAAAGGGATTGGGGGGAACTGAGGCACTGATCATAGTACAACACAAGGTGGTAAAGTTACTGAAAGGAAACTCAAAATAAAATATAATCCCTAACATATCTAGCTTCCAGTTGTTATGATTTCAACCACCACCCTCCCTCTCCTTGAAGAGAACAGGAAATCAAAACCATCCCCATCCAGGCCCGTGGCTACGGTGGGGCATCTCGAGGCTAGACCCCCCCAATTTACTGGTGATGCCCCATGACTCCCCATCCAGTCCAAGGCCCCCAAGTGGTGGCAGGTGCAGGGAAGGAGCTGGATATTCCTGCGCAGCTGTCTGGCACGAAGGTCCAGCTATGGTGGCTGCACAGTGCCAGACAGCACTCTCTATTTCCTCCAGAAAGTCTATTTCCCCCAGAAAGTACTTGTTACTGGCGGGCTCCTGAGCGCCTGGGATCTCACGCGGGGTTCCTGTGCCCCACTTTCTTGCATGCCTTTCTCTCTCCCACAGCCTCCCAGGCTGGCAAGGGGAGACAGGTAAGTTACATTAACTACAGCGTAAGTTAATTGACTTTAAATTACCTTTAATTAGATTAGCCAATGCCACCTAAGAAATTTAAATGCCCCCCAACTTAAAAATTCGTGGCTATGGGCCTGTCCCCAGCTCTTCTACACAAGTCTCCAGCACCTGAACAAAAACAACCGTTCCCTCCCCCAAATTGTCACCTGTGTCTCATGGCAAGAGAATCTTCACTGACATAGCACCTACTTGTAACATCAGGCAAAATAATTTCAAGCTCAGAATTTCAAATTAGAATACACTGATACTGGAGTTGAGGGTACTAATGGTTTCACTCACTATTCTCACCCTGGGAGTAACATTTCATTGCAGGGCAGGGATTTGTGTTTGTGTGTGTATTAAGTCACTGTAGGAAATCCAAGGGCCAAGTGGGATTTTTAGCAGCCTGTGATCCTAAATCATTTACACCCTCAGACATTTTCCTGGTAAAATTTTTAGACCTCCATAGCTATAATGATCTGCTACTATCATCTATTTCACTATTTCACAATAAAAAAAAATAGGAAAGATGCCTTTGGTGCCTCCATTGTTAATCAGTGGAATAAATCTTTAGGATTTCTCACACAGCATGAATAAAAATCACTACAAACCTTTGGAATATTGCAATATTCTTTCTACTAACACTGGGTACTTGGTGATTCTCTGAGTGACCAGCAGAATGCACTCCGGGATTCCACGACGCCGAGCCAACAGATTACTGCTCCGTAGCTGTAAAAATAGACCAATGTTTAATTTGGTTTTTGTGTGATACATCTGATGCACAAGTTGTACTTCTTTTTTCTCTTTTATTTGGAGAAGAGCTGATCTATTGCTTTTCTCTGGTTTGGTCCATTTGTTATTAATCTGTTGTTTACTGCCTTCAAGTAAAAGTCTTTAGCTGGAGCAGACAAGAAGCCAACTATGTATTTTGATCTCCTTGAATTATCAGGCAATGAAGCACTTCTGAATACTGGCAATTAAAAGTAATGCACCTATGGCACACAAAGGTCATAGTTATTTGAACAAGAAGTCCAATAACTCCTGTTTTCATTTGTGGTTCTGCCCTGCTGATCTGAGGTGGCTTTTATTTTTAGACTTTATTTTGTTCAACAGGCCAATAGGAGCCAGGCCTAGTCACATGTGCACTGTAATGTTGAGAGGCTAAAACAAGAGATCCAAGCAAAATAGGAAACATATTGTTATCCCTTGAAATTTGCAAGGAATACATTCTGAAATTTCCCTAGGAAAAGCTTTACTGAATGTCATGAGCCCAATATTAGAAAGGAATTCAACTGAATGTCTGAAATATTTTGTGCCTGAAATGTTTGGGTCCATAACTTTCCTTAATTAAAAATGGATTCTTTAAAAAGCAAAACTGCTTTAAAAACAACAATAACTTTCAATTAAGATTCATTTATTAATGCTTTCATTGTTATAGGAACACCAAGTGTGCAATTACAAACTTACTTTGATGAAATTCTGGAACTTTTTGTTTTGCTGCAGCTCTTTGAAAAGGCTGACTGCCTCTTTCTGATGACTACAGAATTCCCCATATATCTTCTTCACCTTGGCTGCATTTTCTTCTGAAAACTGATTAAGAGCAACAATTAAATTGTATTTATTAGAATATCAAATGTTTTACAAACAATATGCCAGACTGACTGACCCCTGAAGTCAGTTGGAAGCTTACTGAATATATTTACTGCATGTATTACTGAATTGTACTGAAATTGTACTGAATTGTATTGAAATGGTATTCCTAATCTATATAAAACTGTTCCTATTCAAAAAGTTCATATGTTAAGTGGAAATTCAACAGTTTTAGAACCTGGCCTGGATCCACCAGAGGATTTTTACAGATGGAAGGGATTTTTTTCAGCATGGAGTGACTTCCACTCCTCCTCCCAGCCCAAAATACCCCCCGAAAAGCTGCTCCTGGGGAAAAGAGGACATCAATGAACAGCATAAAGGAGAAGTCAGAGGTCTGCAGTGGGGGGGGGGAATCAGTGAAAAATGCCCCCTTTCATCTGCAGAAAACTTCCGGTATATTCATGCCAGTATGAAGTGGTTAATGATGCCTTGAATGGAAGATCTGGTGATGTGCAGAGTTGAAATTTCAGCATTTTATTACCCTGAAGACTTTTGGGTACCTTTTTTAATGTATTTAGTACATTTTATCCTGTCTTTTCTCCAAGAGCTCAGGGCAGTGTACATTGTTCTTTTTTTCATTCTATCCATACAACAACCCTGTGAGGTAGGTTAGGCAGAGACAGAATGATCAGTCTGAGTTTGACGGCTGAGTGGGGTCTTGAACCTGGATCTCCCCAGGCCTAGGATGTGACACTCCAACCACTACACCACACTGTTTTTTGCTCTCTTATATAAGACTTTGGGCTTTCTTCTTGTTTAAATACCATTAGGGAAGTGTCTTTTTTTCCCCAGTGTTTTACCTGCTGTACAAGTATATCTCCAATCCTGCTGATTACAAAGTTTCTGTCACTTCCCCCCTGACTTGACTCCTGCCGTCTCTCCTTCATACTACAGAAGAATTGCTGGTGAAGTTCAAGCAGCTCATCTAAACAGGGGAATATTTTGTCCACAGTGCTGTGGTCCAGTTGCAGTTCTTCTTTCATTCCCTTCCGGAATATCTTAGACATAATGAACAAGGTGTGGATGTGATGCACTTCTGTTTGCATCAGCTCTGCAACAGAGGAAGAAAGCATGTAATGATTATTCCAAATCAGACCCCTGCAGATTACACTGTGCATCCCAAACCGTTACATCCTAGTGTGCTCTGCTGTTACTTAGAACATAAGGAAAAAAATCAACGTGCAAAAATTTTTTCACACTGGTCAAATCACCCTGGAGGAAGCAAATATGGAGCTACTTTATGAGATGGGGCTCCTGATAAGGTTGTTCAAGACCTACACAATATCATGACCAAACTGAGACAGGAAAATCACCTTTGAGCACTTCTTACAATGGAATGTACTTTAAGTAGCACCAACAGTATGCTGAATATTACCATGCTCCCCTAGCTCCCTCACACCTGCAGTCCTATTTGACTCCCAGAAAAAAAACTATTCCTGGAGTCATGGGACTGTGCACGGGGGACGGGGGGTGCACAGAGGAAGGGGAAAGACGCTGAAATTTCCCATTCCAAAACAGAAGAGGCAGATGGAAGAATAGTAGGAGTCAGAAATGACACCACAAAACATGTCAATGACCTGCCCCAGTGAAAACCCACGTTTGACATCAGCACGTCAACTGACACTATGAGGTCATTCTAAGTTTTTATCTGGATGTAACTTCAACACATCATGCAATGTCACATCCACCCCTGGCCTGGCCTCCCTAGGGCATATTATAATAGCCATGCCTAGTATGCTGTATCTATGTACATCTAACATGCGAGTAATTGATCCAGTTACTGAAATTTAAAAACTGTTAAAATTTTAACTTGAAGTTTATTAACACATCTTTCATTATTAGTAAATGCCAGCTTATCAAATAACAAAGAATAAAAGCCTTTAAACAATTTATAAAATAACATGCAATTTCATTCAGTTCCACAAACCATTCTAGCACATAATCATGTCTATCCTTGTAAGGATCTTGGACATACTGACCAAAAATCACATCTTGTCTTTTGATGATCTCCTTTTCTTGCTGGCTGCAAAACCAAGGGTCTACCACAAGACTCCAAGACTCTCCCTCAAAGTCTAGGGCATCAGTGCTGAGGTCACTCCACAAAGAGCCATCAACATCATCTGTGGGGAAGTAAAAAATTATTTTTATTTATTTATTTATTTATTTTGGGATTTATATCCCGCCCTACCCGTACGGCCCAGCAGTCAAAGAAACATGACCAGAAAGGAGCTGTGGCTCAGTGGCAGAGCATGTGCGTGAGTCCACACACTTAACTGGCATCTCCAGTTAAAGGATCTCTGCTTGCAAGCGTTAGGAAGGATCTTTCTCCGCACAGGACTCTGAAAAGCTTCTTCCAATCAGAGTAGACAATACCAGTGGATGTACGCTTGGATCTTATGAACGGAGCTCTGGGTCACAAAAGCGTATGCCTGGAATAAATTCTGTTTGTCTCTAAGATGGACTCCTGGTTTATATTTTAATACTGAGTTAGGTGCATGAGTGAACCACAGAAAGGCGGTTCAAAATATGTTTGTTCAAAGTTTCTAATTCAAATGGTGGCCACATAAGAAGGTAGCATTTCAGCAATTTACAGCAATTTCAGTTTAACTATCTGGATTTTTTATTTCCTTCTACCTTTGTGAAAGAAGGTACACTGGTTGTATATGAACAGGCATAATGAAGAATGCATATATTTGGGGTCATTTTTATGCCTCAGTGTCGTCTAAAGTTTTCAGCATACCTTCAAGTACAAAAGACTCAACTGATGATGCACTCCCAATTGATTGTAAGAGTTCTTCAGAGTGTGACCGGGATCTCCAGAGATCGGTGTCTGGCTCCAAAGGGGATGAACATTTTCTAGAGGGAAAGCAAAATCACACAAGGATCATGTAACTCCCTGTGACAGTACCGTATTTATATAACACATGCAGAAAGCGCCATCTACCTTTCAAGACTGGAACTTAGAACACTTTTGGATGAGTGTTGTTGCTGCAATCCATCTTTCTTTACGAAGGACAGTCCAATAGGTGTGGATGTAGAAAAGTGAACCGGGGACAATACTGGCTGCGGAGTATCTCTGAATGACGGATCTGAAAAGTAACAACTTCAAGTAAGGAATTTTTAAAAAACAGTTCTGATTAAATGCTTCATGACACTTGGCTGTAATCTAAAGAACTACCTTAGGCTTACAGGAGGATTTGCACTCACACAGCACATCTCTTATTCTCTCTTATATTTGAATAAAAGATCCCTGTGATGCATGACAATCTCCTTTTGTAACTCCACACAATTTCAAAAGTCTTTTGCCATATGACACGGTTGGCTGCTGCTAATGTTTTGGAGGGTGGAAACTAGCTGAATTAATTTTTGGATCCTGGCCTATACAATTAATAATTATCTCAGGAAAAACATTTTGCAATTTGAAAGCACACCTTGGAAAATGCTGTAAGATTCCAGAACCTTGAAAGTTATGCCAGAGGCTATAGTTCAATGCCTCCTAGCCCCTACGATATGATGTCAGCAATGTTCTTAATCCCCATGTACTCACCATTACTTACAGGATGATAGTTTTAAGATTAATATTTCAAATAGTATTTTACATTTGAAATTCACTTTGGCTAATGTCAGTCAAGTTAGACTTTTGCAGAGCTCATCCATACATCTTTGTAGAGCTCATCCTTTTTAAGCACATGCTCAAAAGGCTTCCCACTGTTTATTTCTTGGAATGGGATGGACTATTGATTGATGTTGATTTTATTGTTCACTGCCTATTTTAAACGATTTTTGTAAAATACCCTAAACTTAGAAAAGGCATGGGATATACGTTTTAAAATAAACAAACAAAAGTGTGTGTTTATGTGGAGATTGTGAAGAAGCTCAGTTCTGCACTATTGTGTACTTCTGCTATAATTATAAGAAATCTTTTAATAGAGCAAAACATAAAAGTATGTCTTTACATCTCTTAGCATGCTTACTAAAATGCTTACTTGTCTGGATAGCTTGTGTTCTGTTCTTAATATGGCATCTCTCTTGGGATTTCTGGCAAAGAAGAATGTTTTTGTGGTAAAAAACCTGATTACACAATTAACATTCTACTGATCAAGACTGAGCCATCCGCACTCCAAAGGGATATAAAAAGATATATACTCCAAAAGATATTCATACACCATATACTTCATACACTAAGACTTTATTTATTTAGTTAACATCTCACTTTTCTCTCCAATGGGGACCCAAAGCAGCTTACATCATCATTCTCCACATCTTCATTTTATCCTTACAAACACTGCCCCCCATAAGGTAAGCTAGGCTGAAAGACACTGACTGGCCCCAGACCACACAGCAAACTTCCACAGCAGAATGGGGATTTGAACCTGGGTCTACCACATATCAGTCCAACACTCTGACCACGACACCGTGCTTTTATGCTCTAAATAACACAAATAAATTTTCAGTGTAGTATCAGTCCCGACTCTCCCCTATGTACCTGGTGAATTTTACTATTGAGGTACTTATAGTGAATATGGAACAAATCGAAAATATGGTATTTGATCTAAATGTAACAGTTAAGGCAAGTTTTTTCTTTAAAAAACTTTTAAAAACTATAAAGCAATATATTTTTTGCTTGCAATGTGTTATAATTTGAACATGTATATCTAGTGTTAAGGGGGGAAGAGAAATGATGGTTTAAATTTTTATTAGGAAACCTGAAAAATTCAAAAAGCCAAGAACTGCTGTGTATGTTTTGCTATAATTGGTATACACCAGGGGGCATTATTTCCCTTTGATTTTGATACCAAGCTGTCTATTGGATTTTCACTGAAGACGGGAAGACTGCACTGCTGTGCACGTTCTTTGAAAACTTTTTCCCCTATCAGTGGTCACTGATTATAACCACCATTTACATAAAACAGGGTGGCTGAAGCCACTGTCTGAGCATCCCACTGCCAAATACATTTGCTCCTGAAAATCTTTCAGCAATAGCCACTTTACCACCTTCACCAGTAAGACAGGCTATAAATGAAGTACCGTACATATTCATTTACTGAACAAAGTTTGAGTCCAGTGGCACTTTTAAGACCAACAAGGTTTTATTCAAGGTGTGAGCTTTCATGTGTACACACACTTCTTCAGATATTCATTTACTGTTTTATCAACATAGATGTAATGTAAAGCAAGACCCAAAAATGGTTGAGTGAATTAGCCCAATTTGGCTCATGAAAAGCTGTTCTTTCAAACAACTGTGAAGCTACTGACTGCATTTTCTGAAAATAAAATTCTCCAAAATACCTCAGGCTTCAGATTTTTAATGTATACAGCTATTGGCTGGTTATGCCAACGCAGTAAATATTCCTCTGATCTGCTGGTCACGCGAAGGCCTCTCTCTCCCAGTTGTCCTGTCTCACCCAGATTCCTCCATCTAGCTTTCCCCTCTTCCCTTCATTCCTTTGGGGGTGGGGCTGCCCCCTCAGGCCACTAGTTCCTTCAGTCTGTCTTATCCCTCTCTTTAAGATCTGGACAGATCAGCCAATGATAGTTAGAGACTCTAAGTTATTTATTAAAATATTTCTATCCTGCCTTTCCTTTGTGGCTCAAAACTGCTTACAGTTCAGAATTTTAAAATGTACAAAGTACAAGTAAACCACCTCCTCAATACCTTCTGCCTACACCCCATTAAAAACCTCTGGCCCCGGTCACACTGGAGGATTTGCCCTGTAAAACGGATGGGTTGAGGGCGGATTAAACCAGCACAATCAGATGCCAACATCTGCCAAGGGTTGCGCCCCCGCCCCCAACCCGTTCCTTCCGGCCGAAAACGTGGATTTAAAAGATACCTGCAAAACACTAATACCTACTTGGAAACACGCAGCACGGGCGGGCATGTGATCGCCAATGCACCCGTATCCCATGGTATGCGAGGCCCTGCCACACTGTGCATGCGCACAACTGCGCAGCTGCCTCACCTCGCCCTTCATCCCATCGCTTTCCCCTCAGCATGTGATTGTGCCTGGGAGCAAATGCGGCATGACTCGGGGGATCTGTCTGATCCCGATGCCGCGCTTCAATTTACTGCAGCTCTAAAAAGCCGCACTTCTGCCGCGGCTTTTCCCGCTAATGTGACCGGGGCCTTAGTGACTTGTGGAACTTCCTAAAAGCTTCCATGGCTGGCATTCCCCTCATCTCCTCCGGGAGGGCATTCCATAGGTTAGGAGTTACTACAGAAAAAGTATGTGCTCTGGTGGATGCCAGGCAGGCTCCTTTAAGGAGCAAAAATAACCAGTGGGTGGCCACCTAAAGACCACAGTTCTCTGCTTGTAACCTTGTGGTACTTCAGTCAATGACTGCCACTGGCTCCCCCATCAACCATATTCCTTAAGCCAAAAGTAGGCAAAATTCAGGGAGAAGAATGCTGGGTTGTTTACTAAGATTGCAGCAGCAGCAATTCAGGTGGGCAGATGTGTTGGTCTGAAGCAATAGAACAAAGTTTGAGTACAGTGGCATCTTTAAGACCAACAAAGTTTAATTCTGGGTATAAGCTTTCATGTGCATGCACACTTTACACACTGCAAAGCTCATTCTTCAGTTGGGTCAAATATAGTAATGGGGAACTGTGAGGCAAAGCACCTTAATTTCCCTGAAGGGTTAACGTGATTATTAGCAGGCCTGCTCTGGCTCGCAGGTGTCCATTCTTATACCTTTCAAGGCCAGAGTTAATCACAAGAAGCTGTGCTCAGCTGTACAATCAGATGGGAGGGGGGAATTAAGAGCAGACATTGAAGTCCTCTGGAAAGTTCCATCAAAAGGGATTCCTGATTGGATCCCAAGGACCACCTGATGCCAGAGGGCAAAAAAGCTATAAAAAGGATGATATAGGCCAAAGGGAAGCCATGCCAACTTTATGCTTGTGCCATGCTAGTATGCTTTGATATGTTATGTTACATCATGATGGACTGCAGCATATAGAATGCTTTAGGCTACAGCTTGGATACTTATGCTGCAAGAAGGTGTACCATCTACTATCAGGTCCTAAATATATTAGATTAAAAGGTTAGTTTCTCATTTATCTGTTGCTAACCTATAGAGACTGGGGTGCATAGTGGTATCCTTTTTAAAAACTGTTTAATAACCCGTACCTTTATATATTTTTACAAAGGTCTGCTTTATTTGAGTACATTTAACCCTGAGGACCCACAGGGCTAGGTGCTGCTCAGGTAAAAAGGCATGGTGACCCAGGGGGAATGAGGCCTTTGGGTCTCTGAAAGGGACATATAGCAGTTTTGGCAGTGGGGAGAATTAGATTGGGAAACTAGTGCCAAGGAAAGAGATGAAGATCTCCTCCTCCAGCACTGCTGTCTCAGTCTAATTGTCCCACCTCTGTAGCTGTTATGCAGATTATGTTTAAAAGGTGACAATATGGGGGGGGAATAGAAAGAGGGGATGGAAATATAGTAACAATAGCAAATTGCAAATATCAATAAAGTAATAATAGCAACAATGTTTTAAAATTGTATAAACTTACCTTTGTACATGCAGGTGCACAATCCTTACAACTTTTATGCACATTTGCATTGCAATCTGAAAGAAAAATTCAAAACGTGAGACTTTGTACAATTCTCTGACTGTAAGAATATTTGTTTCAAGATACTTTGATATTTTTTTACATCTTCACAGATAGCAAACCATATTTTAAATCTAACCTACATAATAAAAAGTAGCTACTCACAAGAACACTGCAAGGACTCTTTCCCCAAAAGTGGCTTCTCGCATGCGAAACACGGGATTACCCCAGCAAAAGTTCCAGACACAAACTGGTGCCTAAAAGGTTTCTCTCTTTCTTTGGCATCTTTACTTTTTGCCTTTATAACAAGAATGAAAAACAAAGCAAAACAGTTTATTAGCTGTTGAAATGTATCCAGAAGCCTTTGTTATCTCTCTCTTGTTCACAGTGAAGTGGTGGGAAAGTTCATGTTTTATAAGAAAGATTTCCTGCTATTTTCTCCTCTGTACAAAAAAAAATGTACCCGAGGCAAGCAGCCATTTATCACTCTTTACGTTTTCCCATAAAACACACTTCCAAGTATATGGTAACTCCTGAAAACCCAGTTCTGTCACAGAGCCTTTTCTGCACACCAACCAGTCTCCAAGTTATCTATTACCAAACAAACAGGAGTAAGTCAACAGAAGGTACTTTCCACAGACATTTTCAGCAGTGCTGAAAAGTGAGCCCCCTTTCAGCAATTCCGGGAGATGAGGGCATTTTTTATTGGCCAACACACTGTGAAACCTCCCTGGATATATACTACTTGTGACAATTGGAAGGTGATCCAGAGAAGACCCAGTAACTGCAGGAATAATGACAGCTTCAAAGTAGCAGTAAGTCTAGGAAACAATTGCAGCAGACAGACTAAAGAAGAACTAAACCCTGTAGGTAGAGGCATTTCAGGAAATATTTTGACTGCCCAAGAGTACTGTGCCACCCATGTCTTAAAAATACGTTTGGTAGACATTTGGTGTCTTTTAAGATCCTTATAGTTTTGAGTACTTGAAGTGAATCAAAGCATGAAACACAATGAAATGGTGGAGTCCTGAGATAGTAGGCAAACAATGTTGCTGCAGAAAAGTGATACGTTTTAATGGCAACTCATGTTAAAATAAACTTCTTGAAAGTACAAACCTAGAACATCAGAAAGAACCTAACTTCTCCAAGCTGTGCTGGTTTTCTGCTTGCAAAAAGTTGGTTTAAAAAAAATATAAGAGACCATTAAGAAACATAATTCCTCCCATCAGATATATGGACATCCATTCTGCCACCTCAGGTTTTACCAACACATTATTCCTGCTTCATTCTGTAGTATGCACAGGTTGATGCTAACACAGTAAGTCTTCTGGGCAAAGAATGGGTCACCTGCCACTTTGGCCCTGCCACTTTACCTGCCTTTAAACCAACAATAAGATTCAAGATGTGAGCTTCCGTAGCCAGGAACCAAGAAATATCTCTGTCTTTATAATCCAACATAGCCTCAACATTCAACGATAGAGAAGAGGCATTAGCTACATATAAAGACGTAAAGTGTTCCACCCACTTATTGCAGGAAATACAATTATCCACATTTTGTTTCCTTTGAGCTAATGACCTGTTAACCAGCCTCCAAAAGGATCTCATATCCTTAGTGGTGGATGTCTAAATCAGATCAGCCCAAGATTGTTGGATACTATGACAGTTCTTGTGCCTAAGAAGGTTTCTGTGTCTACACTTTGAATCTGTATATCTAATTCTCAATGGTCCTCTCTGCCTACAGATACTTATTTCTGCAAACAGAGGGTGCACTCTCCCCCAACAGGTTTTTCTACAGACTCAGGAGATTTTGTGGGTTGCAGAAAAATCCAAAAAGTTTTTAAAAAAACTCAGGGAAGGTTGAATTCCCACCCCAATACCTTTTGAAATGGCCACTGCAGTACTCCAGGGCCTGCTGCATCAACAGTGAGAGATAGCCAGAGAGAGACAGACAGACAGAGACAGAGAGAAATAATGAGTTGGGGAAGAGGGGAGGAAGCAAAAGCAGAACTGGAGCTGGGACTGGTGAGGATTCGTCCTGCAGTATGAATGGCTAAATAGCAGGGGATATTTTAAAAGGACATCTGAACTTCTCACCCCTTCCTCTTTTGCTATGGGATCCACTGTCCTCTTAAAACTTTCAGGGGGGGCTTCTAACTGCTGCTCCCCCTCCACCAGCTTGAGAAAGACTGAATGGCTGAGAGTGAGAGATACAGAGAGATAATGGAGAAGAGGGAAGGAAGCAACAGCAGAACTGGAACTGGGATTGGGGAGGATTCCTTCCTGCCACTTGGCCATCTCCAATGCTGTTTTTCCTGCAATATGAATGGCTAAATAGCAGGGAGAAGACATTAATAATATGCAACATTTTGTTGTGGGTCCCCACTTGTTAAGATACATTGTTTGCATAGCAAAATTATTAGATTTCTTAAACTTATAGTAGTCTGTCCTGACTTGCTTCCTGCTATTTTGGAACTCTAAAACAAATCAAATCTCTTTGTTCTTTCATTTGGATTTATTAGCACCTCCCCCCCTCACCAATAAAAGTTTAATTTGATCTAGCATCTCCTGGAAATTTCTTGGACAGAGGTAGAATCCAGCAACTTGTTCTTACTTATGAGTATTTCTTCAGAATAAAGTAACCGAGCCACTTCCTCCCTGACATCATCCCATCACTGTGGGATCAGGGAAAGTGGTGACTCCAAATCAGGGTCTAACGCCCTAGTAGCCTGGTTTACTTAAATATCCAGCTGCCAAAGAACAGGAAAATGGTCACTAACAACAGATTTGTATACTTTAAAATGAGTTATTTTAACAAATAAATCCAACAAAACATCGTGGCATAACTAAAAAGCTGCTCCTGAAAGTTGAAAGCATTTCTGGATCATCGGTGTAAAGTACTGAAGTAGGAAGTGGAACTCTCAGACACAGCAACAGTCAGGCAGCAGATGATGATCTCTGGATCTCAGCAGAAATGTTTAAACAAAAACTAGAATGATTGTGGTTGTCTCCCACTACAGCAATTCCGGGTGACCCACATGGCCTGCCTGTTGGTGGTAGTGTGTTTCCAGAACTTCATATGTGACAAAATACTTCTAGAAGTCCTTCTCTTTTAAAACACTATTCAAAATGTGTAAAAATGTAACTAGACATCTTATAATATTGCATACATCAAGCCTCAAATTACCTTGGATTTATTTCGTGTACTGGCCATTCTATTCATCAGAAAGCTGAAAGTACGGCTGACTTTGTATTTTTCAGATTCAGATTTTGTAGGTATAATGTACTTATCCCAGTCCTCTTCTTGAATTCTAAAAACACATCAGCAAATCTTTCATCATGTTACACAGAATACCTTAACGTCATTCTGTTTCTATGTCAATAGAAAGCTTTCTGGAAAATCTGATACAATGCTGGTATTTGTGACTGGGCTATTGGAAAAAGCATACAACATTAGGAGAATGAACATTTAATACTGAGAGTTTCTAATCTCTATGGACTTTAATTTCACGTTACTGGACTACTGTAACTCACTCTATGCAGGGCTACCCTTGAGGCTGACCGGAAACTCCAATTGGTCCAGAATGCGGCAGCACAGGTCCTTACAGGGACTCTGGTAAGAGCACATATTCAGCCTGTGCTCTGCCAGCTGCACTGGCTCCCTGTTGAATTCCGGATCAAGTCTAAGGTTATGGTATTGACCTTTAAAGCCCTAAACAGTCTGGGACCACCTCTCCTGGTATGTTCCTCAAAGGACACTTCACTCAGCAAATAACAACTTGCTAATGATCCCTGGTCCAAAGGCCATACCGCTATTCTCAACCAGGGCCAGGGCCTTTTCACCCATGGCACCAATCTGGTGGAACACTCTGTCCAATAAGACCTGGGCCCTGCAAGATTTGAATCAATTTTGCAGGGCCTGTAAGACAGAGTTGTTCCACCAGGTGCATGGTTGAGGATGACTTGTGGCTTGCACTATGGACCAATTCTGGATCTGCCCTATTGTGCCATCTAACGTGGAATTGTTAACATTGGGATTATTAATTTTAATCTTAATTGTAATTAAGTTAATTGTATGTTGATTTTAAATGTTGTGACCCACCCTGAGGCTTACTGCGGAGGGGAGGGAGAGCTGTAAGTTCAATCAATCAATCAATCAATCAATCAATAATGAAGTATGACACTCCTTCACAACCTACCAGGAAATGCAGCATCACACTAGTGCAGGGTTTATGATGCTGTAACTCTTGTTGATAAGTAAACAGCAGCTATTGTTTGATGGCTATTGCTGATGTTCTAATAATAATAATAATAATCTTTTAAAAATACCTTTTTTCTTTTGACTGTTCAGTCAAGATGTATGCACATTGTTCTACAAAACAAAAGATAACCAGTGTAAATCTACTGTCCTGCCATATTCACAAGATTTCAATTCTGAAATTTGCTCTGTTATTACAAGCGAGCACACCTGACATTTTAAAATCAAGATGGGTAGCCGTGTTAGTCTGTCTGTAGCAGTAGAAATGAGCAAGAGTCCAGTAGCACCTTAAAGACTAACAAAATATGTGACAGGGTATGAGCTTTCCTGAGTCACTGCTCACTTCTTCAGATACAGCTAGGATGGGAGTCCATCTGTCCTATTTATTGGTAGCCCTACAGGCAAGCCTCAAGGGGAAGGGCATTCTAAAGGCAAGGTATATAGTTGTAATACATAACTGACATACATATATTTAGGATGTTCTAATAATAATAATAATAATCTTTTAAAAATACCTTTTTTCTTTTGACTGTTCAGTCAAGATGTATGCACATTGTTCTACAAAACAAAAGATAACCAGTGTAAATCTACTGTCCTGCCATATTCACAAGATTTCAATTCTGAAATTTGCTCTTTTATTACAAGCGAGCACACCTGACATTTTAAAATCAAGATGGGTAGCTAGTTAGTCTGTCTGTAGCAGTAGAAATGAGCAAGAGTCCAGTAGCACCTTAAAGACTAACAAAATATGTGACAGGGTATGAGCTTTCCTGAGTCACTGCTCACTTCTTCAGATACAGCTAGGATGGGAGTCCATCTGTCCTATTTATTGGTAGCCCTACAGGCAAGCCTCAAGGGGAAGGGCATTCTAAAGGCAAGGTATATAGTTGTAATACATAACTGACATACATATATTTAGGACTGATAAACTATGATGCTCACAAACAACACACACATGCCATACCCAAGTTTTGTAAAGTTTTACTTACATATTATGAATGATAAATGGGGTAGGAGAAGCAGGCATTGATTGAATGATGTATAAAAAGGCCTTCAGTCTGGATTTACGGAGAATAGAATGCCTGTCTCTGAAGTATATGGATTTCCATTTTAAGAAGTAAATAAAGTAAAAGTATATACTGTGGGGGGGGGGGTTAAATACACCCCATGATTTTAACCTGTTGGTTTTGGTCTTCAGACAGTTTGATCCAAAGTTCTAAAGCGACATCCCTCAGGCCTCACACAGTTCACAACACGTTAATCTTGCCTTCAGCAATGATTCCAGATTTTAATTAAGATGAGAGCCTTTGCTCACACTTGTGAAGGCAGGGAAATAGCTTCTGAGAGTGATGAGAAAAATTCCATCACATTTAACGTGTTTAATAGGTCTATGTGATTTATATCACAACATGGTCAACATGGTCACCTCCAAGCAGATGCACTTCATAACTTTGAAACCCTTACTGCAAGATGACACCATGGTTATTATAGGGATTGATTCTTTGTGCGGGCAACAATTAGATCATATAATAAAGATGGCACCACCAGATTGTGAGGCAAAATACACTTCCAGCTAACTGACCACAAAATGAAAACAGGGTGAACCCGAAGAATACAGCCTTCTCCAGAACAGGAATTGTCCAGAACAGGAAGTCAAACGTCTGCACTATACAGTCAATGGTGGTACCAATGTACTGGCAGGAGAATAATGGCTGCTGAAGTATCCTGCAAGTCTATGTTGGAACAGCTTATTCAAATACACAGTTAAGAGCACTCTGGTATATATGTGAAGGATCTGATTACATTAATGGTTTGCACCTCTGTAACAGTAACCATCCTGAGTCCAGAGCACTTTTATTTAGACAGCCAGGGTAGTGTAGTGGTTAGACTCTGCCACGGAAGGTTGCTGGGCGATCTTTTGGCCTAACCTACATCACAGGGTTGTTGTAAGGATTAAAAAAAGGAGATGTAGGCAATGTAAGTCACTTTGGGTCCACACTGGATAGAAAGGCAGGGTATAAGTGAAGTATCTAAATAAATACATAAACAAATGTGTTGCTACCAGACTCTGTTTAATGTCCAGAGATACTGAAGGGCTGGGAAGTAACCAATCATGACTCAAGTCAATAAACAGGTTTATGCTGGAATGAGGAATATGTATGTCTAGAATACACATAAACCCCTTTTTGCACTGGTAACCCAAGGCCTTTGCTGACCATAATGTATGTACAGTAGTTGCATGAAGACAGAATTGAGAACATGCTAGCAGGCTCCCGCCCTGATTCTCATGCATTTATCATACTCTATGTGTAAAGCCTCTGTGTGCACAATTAGTAACTGTGCAGAAATGCCAGTCAATGGTTGGAAGTTGGCAGCAGAGCCAGTTGGCATGATCCCATTCCCCTCTGCATGTGTTTTTTTAGTATGGCGCTTGGAGGAATCTCAAGCCTAAAGCCCTGTGCAGATGACCTGTGTTCTAATATACACCCCTCTTCCAATGCACAATCCTTGTATACCCAAAACAGAGATGGCAGATGGCTAATTTCAGGCTGAATTATGTTCTCAGGCTGAATAAAAAGTAAGGGAGTATAACAAATAAAAGCAGGACTCATGCTCACCATCATTTGAATCACATATTGTGAAGTCATGTGCACCATGTGATTTTCCTAAGATGATTTTGGGTGAAGTATAAGAATAGGAGCGAGATCGAATTCCAGACAGTAACTGTTCCTAGAACATATTCAATATTTTAGAGAAAACTTTCATAAACAGCAGGAGCATTTTTTAAAATTACTTGGAAACGTTTCTAAAATCTTCTACAAAATTAGTTGTAGGTATACTGAGAGACTCATAATTATTTATTTAAAACATCTTTACGCCATCTTTCCTCTTGATCAGGGTCCTCAAGGCAGCAAACATGCAAACATTTGATCAATCAAAAACAAAATATAAATGATAAAATAAATAAAAACACATAAACATACAACACCAGAACCAGAGAGGAGAGACAACAGTCATTATTGAGGGTATGCCACACAAAAAAACTTCACCCACTGGTGGAAGACACCAATAGAGCTAGAGAGACGAGTCTCCCCGGGGAGGGAGTTCCAAAGTTTTGGTTGCCCTGAGTGTGACCACTTCACTTATGTTCCTCAGGACATGTTCCAGTTGCTGAACTTTCATTGTGAAACTGCTGAGTAGAACCCTTTTCTTGCCATGGTCTGTTTTAAATTGGCATAGGGTAGCCCTTCAATAAGGAAATTATACTCTACAGCAAACGTGGGTAAATTATTATGGCCCAAGGACCACATTTGGGCCCATAAACACTTTTCATCTGACCCTTTAGCTCCTGCGAAATTTTCTGGGAACATTCAGCACAAAAGTCCAGAGTCAGCAAGTGATCCAATGCAGTAAAAACTGTTCAACAGCTCAGGGGCTGAGAATAATTAAGAGCAGTAGAGCAGACAGGAAGATCACTTTGGGGTTTCTACCTGCTTCTGAAGGATCCAAGTTGGACACCAGTTCTTCCCGTTCCTCTGCTGAGGATGTCTGTGTCCAACTTGGACTCCTCAAAGAAGAAGGAAATCCAGATGTGGTCCTCAGGCTGAAAATGCCTACCCTTCCAGTCTGCAGTTCACATTCACTTTTGTCTTTAAAGAATTTTTTCCAATCTCGATGACCTCAGCATAAAAATAATATATAAATATTATAGAATTGCTTGTTATAGCCAGCTTGTTCTTGCTTCTTTATATATGGTGAAAAAGAATCTGTTGAAAGGCCATGAACCCTTTTGGTCTCACATTTTACTTCAAAAAATGGCTACAAAGACATTTTTGTTGCAAATTTCCCATTTCTTAACCCCTACTTCCTCTATTAATTTGACTGCACTCGAAAACAGAAAAATACTGCTTTCACACACTTTGCTCAGAATTGGCATCTTCATTACTTTTCTACAATTACGTTTTAGCCAAAAGATTTTGTTCATTCATCTTTTAATTCATGAGCTGATGTTACATTTCTACATATTGAAGGACAGTATACAGGAGCTGCAGTTTTAAAAGACAAGATGTAAGTGGATTCATTTCCAGCCTCTCTGCATCAAAAAAGGTGTTGATTTCACAATAATATGTTGCCTGTGTTCAACAGTGAGTACAGCCCCTGTGTCACAGTTACTGTTGCATAAAATTGAGCTACTTTTCACCACTACAAAAGATAAACAGCAGACACGGTCTGGATGTCACAGCATTAACACACTGTCCTTTCAATAAGGATGTCCCTCAGCATTCTCAATCAGGTTCCCCAGAATCAACTGAGGGAGCATCCCCTGCAAACAATCTAATTTCTAAATTCTGAAACAATGCGTACAAGTCTTCTTAGCCACCAACATCTGTAGCAACTATTTTTGCCTTTTGGATAGCCTAGACGCTTTAGATGTTTAACACACACATACAATCTGGACAATCTGTTTTCCTTAATTTGACCACATCACCTAGCCTACTAGCACTGGCCTATCCCTATCTTGATGGAGGTGTTTGTAAAATATTCCATCCTTCTTCACACACTTTCATCTGAGGTACAAATAACTGGAGGAAAATATAATCAGCAAGAGAAGGGTTAAGGCAGTTGGTGTAACCATGCCATTATGGTTGCATAAACCTCTTAATTAGTAGGAATGGGCACAAATCAGTTCACAAATGAAAGTTCATGATGAATTTTAGTTGGTTCATGGTTTGAGAAGTGATGTTTACAAACTGAAGAGCCATCATGAACTTCCACGAATTTTAAGGCAGTTTACTGCTGTTTCTGAAGAGCAGAAAGCCCCTAGTCAGGTCTTGCTGGCAGACAATGGTGTCAGGCGAATGGTGATTAGAAGAGTGTGGTCAGCGTGGGCAGGTCGGAATGTCAGCACAGAACAGATTGATGGGCAATCCAAAGGGAGTGTCTAGCATTCCAAGAGTCAATCACAAGTGAGGTAGAGCAAGAGTCGTAGTCAGAAATGGTCTGAGAGTCACAATGGCAGAACAGAGTCCAGTTCAAAAGTCATCAGAATACAAGGCAGATTTACATGCAGTGGTCATAGGGTCAGAGCTCATTTGACTTATTGCTTCCATGCCTAACAGGCTCCCTTGGCTGGTTTTTATAGCCTTAAGGGTTAGGCTTGCAAGCCAGTTGCTCAGGAATAATCCTCCAACTACTCAAACAGCGGGCATCAGGACAGGAGGCGTGCACTTTGTCATCTCTCCTGTAGTTCTTCTTGTAGCCCTCGTCTGCGGCACTCTAAGGGTGTGGGTAATACTGGAGGGCTTGAAATGATCAACTGAGTATCACCTGTTGGATCAGGGCTAGAGGGTGTCAGTGGCTCTGCACCAGCTGTTGGTTGTGAATCCTGACAAGCCTGTAGCTCATCTTCCTCCATGCTGGCTTCTGCTGACTCAGAGCTGGCTACATGGGGCTCCTCTTCTCCTGAGAAGTCCTGAGGAGCTCTGCCTGACCCGCAACACCTCTGCTTTCTGCTCCCTGCTACTTTTCACAGAAAACCCCCTGCTTTCTGATCCCTGAAAAAAGCAGTGGGGAGCAGAAAGCATGGGTTTAAATAACTCAGAGCCATTTAACTGCCTGCTTTCTGCTAATCACCACTTTCAGCAGAGAGCAGAAAGAAGAGGTCATTAACCAATTTCCTGGTTTGCATCAGTTCATGGTTCGGTTTGTGGTTTGGCCACAAACCACAAACCGGACTGCAGAAATGCCATTCGAGCCCATCCCTAGTAGTGAGTTTGCAGGTGGCAACCATATAGCAAATAATGGTTTGCATCCACCAAAAATATGAAGAACAATATGTATTTTTACATATTTATTCCATCTTAAACATACCATCTTAAATAAAGATTTTTTAAAAATCATGGTTATTTACTTTGTACAGAAAATAGTAGTACTAATTAAATACCTTTGACTGTAGATTGTTGGACAAAGGAAGAGATTCTGCCCTGTTAAAATCCAGATCTGTACTTTGCTCCAACAAACTGAATTCGCCCTTGTTACCAGCCAAGGCAGCAGAAGAGCTGAAGGGCATTGAAGGGTAGCAGTGATGGGACCTGTTTGAACTTCTTTCATCGACACTCTCTACATCCAAGTCATCGAGACTGGAACTGAGGACACAAAAATGACTTGTTACAAGTGGGACACATAAGCCACATCAACCAGCCACTCGACATTAAATCAAAGGTCTCAGCCATTCACCTAGCCTAGGTTAAAATGGGAATGATTTATTCAGAACAATACAGACAAAACTAATGCCACACCTTCGTTTTTTCATGATGGAATAGCGTTGATTTCTTAGGTGGCTAAACGCATGTGCCTTGAGTGGCAGGTAAGAGCCGGCTGTACACAAATTAGATGGAATGACGGGTGACGTATTTCCACTGTCCATACTATTTGCAGATGCTTCTGTATCTTCATTCAACTCGGCTTGGTCTGTGCAAGTTTCAGAAGCAGATTGGCCTACGTTAGGATAGCTGACACCAGCTTCTTCAGTCTAAAGTGTGAAATTAATATGAGTTAGTAATGTTTGCAAAAGATATGGAAGAGATGGAAATGAAACCAAACTCAATTTGTAGGTCTGTCATGAGGTACTAATATTTCTAGGACAAATCTTGGCAGAGGCGCCCAGGATCATAAGCAATACAGCCCAGGATGAGGTGAGGCACAAGCACCAAGGTTGGTGGTGTGCTCCATCATGGAAAATATTTTGTTTCTTATTTGTTCATTTTGATTCAAAAAGAATTCAGAAAAGCCTATTCATTCCCAAAAATTCAACAAAAATACAGATTTAAACCGAATGGTGCAAACACAGTGCAATGTAAGAGCACCAGAAGAATTGCATAGGCCTGACCCCAAGACACCGTAACATACAACTGCAATCCAAAAAGAAGCAGAACCAAATACAGTGCATTCACATCAAGCAGAAGTAAGACAACAAGCAGCGACAAAGAGACCAAATCTTTGCCCACACATACACACAAAATGAAATTGGAATTTTAAATACTCTCACTTTCCCACCACCTGAGCAGATACAACTCGTGATAATGGTGCCCCTTTTGCATTGCTACAAGTCTTGCATTGCGCTTTTGATGGTGACCCGTCATCATAAACAGTGTACATGACTTGGTCTAAACAAAATGCTTATCACACTGCTGACTGGTGATATAATGTCTTGCAAGAGTACTTGTAAGTGAGTGTTGAACACTGCAAATGTTAATCTGCATTGCACATGTAAAGGAATATTTTTTAAAAAACCTTCACTGGTGCTCCAGAGGTTTCTTATCCTATAATTCACCAAAAGCTTGCTAAAAAAAAGTTTTAGAAACCAGTAATTTGAAAGGTTTCTAGAAACAGATGACTAGATAGTCCCTGTTCTTTTAGGCATTTGAAATCAGAACTCCATAGACAGTTAATATTGAAAGCCTCCTTTCCACAGAAGTATAATGTAAACGTTCAGAATGGCATATGCCAAAAAGATCATGTGAGACCATAACTATTGAGCTGGAAAGCTAACCGTTCAACATGTCAAAGACTTTTAAATGAACAAATATGCCATGTGAAAACACATGTTTCTGTGATGCCTGGACAAGATCCAATTCAGCTGAGGAAAAGGAAGGAAGGAGAGGAGAGAGACAGGCTGACAGGTGCACAAGAGACAACGGAGCAAAAAGAGGGAACAGAAAGATGGACAAGATCAACACCATGACTTCATTTACTCACTAGGTAGTGGAAGGAGAAGGTTATATGCATTACTTATTATTCATCTTCTTAAACAATTATATCCTGCACTCTCAGTCATTATGAGTTCACAATCATAAACATTAAAAAAAATCACAATACAATATTTTAAAACTTTTTTAAAAACCTAAAATCTCATCAGTAGAAAAGGCCTTGGTGGAAAGGTAAAGAAGCACCTGAAACTAGCAAGGTTAGGCAGCATGGAAACCACCAGTGAGAGGGAGTTTCATAAGTAGGGCACCACCTACCCTCTGTGGCCACCCATTTTAGTTCCACAGTGGAAGGCACATGGAGAGGGTTCTGTCCAGAAGACCTCTGCCAGGTAGCAACAAGTGAGAGAAGTCAACCTTTTAAGTTTCCTGGTCCCAGACCTGTAATGGATTCTAAGATAATGACTAGCTTCTTGAATTGTGCTCAGAAAACAAAAGGAAGCCATTGAAGTTCTTTCACTACACAAAATATTATCAGTTTCCTTTTTAATTTAACAACAAACATAATCAGATGTTAGTAAAATAATTCATATCCCTACTATAAACAAACAGAAGACAACTCTGGCACTCCATCAGACAGAAAACGGTGGCATATTTCAATAGAAGACAGAAACACACTAGCCTTAAGTATGTGCACTTTTGAGAATCTTACCTGCTCTACTACCATGCGGTTTGCATATACTTCATCGCTTCCATTCAGCATTGCAGAAAGCCTGGATGCAGCAAAGAAGGTGGAGGGACTGGAACATTTCTTAAAAGCTTGAAACGGGGACTGTTGATGATCTGCAATAAAACACATTACAGGAAAACTATTTCTTGCATTGTCATTCTTTTATTCATTCTCGTAATGAAACTGGCAATGCTTTACATCTAAGTGAGTCAAAAATTGGAATATGAGACTCCTTTTATGTGCATACTTTCCATCTGTGTAAATGAACTCATGTTCTTGTAAAAAGAGGGACACATTAATTCCGTTTCTGATTTATACAGGGGTCTAAGCATTCACCTGTACTTTAGCCCCTATTTTATTTTGACCTGAATAAAATTGTCACGGTTGGCATCGTTTCTATTCTGAATAGACCATAATTGAAATTGTTAAATTTGCTAACTTCGAGGAGAACCTGGAGATCTATCAGAATTACAACTGAACTCCAGACAACAGAGATCTGTCCAGATATTATGATAGTTATAATAGTTTAACATATTAATAATTATAATTATATTGCTATATTGACATATATTTCTAGTACATTGAAGCTTCATGTGACAGGGAGAGCACAGAAATTTGCCCCAGTAACACAGAAGCCAATGATTGTCATGCTCTGGTTCAGAGCCAGCCAATAGGAGCTGTTTACCGGAAGACAGGTTAAGATCTGACAGTTGGTATGGCAGTTAGATTTTGAGAGGTAGAGGCCAGACAGTGGGAAGCTGGGAGTGAGAAAGAAGGTTTGGACTGGCACACGCGCCCTTCAAAATCTGTAGAGATATCATATGTTTGGGTTAAGTTCCCCTGTCTGGGTAACAAAGTGTTTTAAAAGAGCCATTACAATAGTCCAGCAGGGTTTGCTGAGTCCAGTGAAACTAAAATGCAACAAATTATTGTATTTATATGTTATAAACCTGCCTCAGAAATGGCTTTTACCTTGGCATGTTCTCTAAAACCTAACACCCACATGTCCTCTTAATTGTTAATGTTTATCCCAGTTTGTTTATGCATTCATTTATTTGGAAAATTTATATGCCACTGCCCCAGAAACCTCTTGTGGTGGCTTACAATTAAAACAATAAAATAAAACCATTAAAACCAATCCACTAAAAACAAATCAAAGTCACTAAGAACAAGCCGAGCCATGTAAACAGGCCATTAAAACCAAGCCAGGGCATAAAAACAGTGTAACTCACACATCAAGCAGTCAAAAAAGATGTAGATAAAAGACTCCTGAAGTCAGAAGTAGACCATAAAAGCTAAAAGATTTAAAAGTTAAATGCCTGGGTAAAAAGGTAAGCACCAGATGAGCCTCATGGGGAGGCTCATTCCCAAGGTGAGTTGTGTGTTTTTTTCTGAATGAACTTGGTTCTTGTTCACTTTAAATAGAAAACCCTCTTGTCCCTGTTACTCTGGCTTTACCTTTGCTAATGATCCAGGGCTTTGGTGGGCTTATATCCACACCACGATCTTATCCCCTTGAAATGTTGTTGTTTTTTAAAATACCACTATCAGAATGGGGAGGGTGTGAAACTGTGACAGGAAAAATCCTGTAAGGTGGTTCTAGCTCCAATAAAAACTCACACATTGGTCTCATGGTGATTACAGATGATTGGGGGGGGGGGGATGAATAAAATGCCAGTGTTGAGAGTCATAGTTTGTCATTTTGGGCTACCTGATCACTGTGAATGGCTGCATTACTATGGTATTGCCCAAAGTCTTTGTCATCTGATAGGATTTGACAAAAGAACCTTAATGCTCCTTTGATAGCCATAGATTTATTTTCTGAATGGGTAGGTCACTTTTGTGGGCAGAATTAGTGCTGCACAAGGTATGTGCAAGTGTGCGTGTGAGAGTCTGAATTTAGATAGAGCTGAGAATGTGGCTAAAAATAGTTGAACTTGGGCACCAGCCTTAAAGGAAATCATAGCAGACGTTCATGTCAAGTCTGGTGCATGGATAACATATTTACTGCCTGCTATAAGGGTTCACTTGCTTCCAATATGCTCTGCCTGCAAGTTTCTAAATGAAAAACAGTGTTGCACTTATCTGTAACTGTTGTTCATTGAGCTGTCTTCTGTACAGGCATACATTGGGACTGCCCAGGCCAGCCACTGGAGGATTCTTTTCCAGCTTTTCTCCTTCCCTAGAAAGCGAAGGGGAGGAGCCCCTCCCCTCAGAGTCAGGCAGAGCTGCTTTCCCGCTCAAAGTCATGTGCTCCAAAGGAGGATTCCCTCCCTTTCCTCCGTTCTCCTAAGCACCACCAGCACCCAGGAATAACATCAGCCAAGAGCTCATAGTGAGGGAGGGGGGAGGGAATGTGTGCCTGTACAGATGGACAACTTTATGAACAAGTTATAGGTAAGTACAACACTGTTTTCATCTTCGGTCATCTGTGCAGTCCCTCATTGGGAGACTATAAAACTACTCACCAAGGAGGTGGGGTGATGCTCTCATTGGAGGAGAGAGTGCAGGACTGCTTTACTAACCAAAGTCTATGTTCTTGTGTTGACATCCACAGAGTAATGCCTGACAAACGTAGAGTGCCACACATGAAGGATGTGGAGGCCATTTGAGCACAGGTGGAATGGCTGCTTGGCTTGATCGTAGCACCATCTGATGGCCTTTGTGACCCACTTGGAGAGGGACTGTGAGGAAGCTGCCCTACCATTGGAAGGGCTGGAACAGCAGACAAACAAGCAAAAGGCTTTGTCCTAGACATCTAACATGTGTAGGACCTTCTCTGTGCTGGTTGTTGGAGGGGGGGAAAGACTGGTAAAATGATGTCCTGTGACAGATGAAATAGGGTGACAACCTTAAGTATGAAGCACAAGATAAGCCTTAGGACAACCTTCTCATTGTGAAATTTTATAAATGGGGGAGGTCAGCTCTCAGGGCTGCAAGCTCCCTCACCCTCCTAGCCAATGTAATGGCTAGCAGAAACAGGACCTTAATGGATGGGACTGCTAGAGAAGAAGTTGCCATATGTTCAAAGCGTACTGACATGAACTGTGTCAAAACTAGAGTCAATGACCACGGGAGAACTATAGGCGCCAAGAGGGAAACATATTAGATCGCCCCTTAAGAAAATGACGCGAGGTCTGGTGAGAAAATGGTTTTTCCCTCTACCATTGTATAATAAGTGGATATGGCTGCTAGGTGCACTTTTATGGAAGCACTTTTATGGAAGCAAGATCCAGGACTGAAGGGAGGTGTATAAACTTTCTTCAGGATTCTGTAATGAGGGGCAGAAAGGGGTTACCAGAATATACCATGTCCCTTCTATCTGAATCTTGGCCAACACTTTCATGATCAAGGGAAATAGTGGAAAGGCATAGAACAGGGCCTGCCTGTCCACCTGAACTGGAAGGTGTCTCCTATTGAACAGGGATCACTCCCTGCTCTTGAGCAGAATACCCGGGGCTTGGCATTGTGTCTTATGGCAGACAGATCTACCAAAGGGGTGCCCCATTTTACAAATACTGGCAGTATATGTTCCCTGGCAATGGACCACTTGTGGTCTGAACTCATCCTGCTAAGGGTGTCGGCCCTGGGATTCTCTGAGCCGGCTATATGAATGGCCTGCAGTGAGACCCCAAGGGTAAGTGCCGGTTCCCAAATGGCTATAGCCTCCTGGCATAGAGGGAGCAACACCATGCTGCCCTGCCCTGGCAATATGCCCTCTAGCATGGGAAAGGTGGTAATTCCCAGTGAATCCAAGCAGAGCCTTCCCAAAATTTTGTCCTTGGATCTTGGAACTGAACAGGTTACCTGGATCTCAGGGAATTTAGCCATTCTAATAATCTGCTCAGCATAGAGTAGGAGATCTTCATTGGGCAATATAGGATTCATATTTCCCACCATTTCTTCAGGAGATGGATCAGATAGCTGGTCAAAGCCCTGATCCGAGGGAGATGCTGTTTCTTCCCCCCAGAGTCGGAAAAGGCAGGTGGATCTTGCTGGGGGGGGGGGGGACAATCCAGGTTGATACTTAAGTGCATATATGGAGCCCAGAAGAAAGACCATGCTCGGTTCTGGTGGACCTAGCAAAGTCACCCCATTCCTGCGGAAGGCGAAGGGGTAGTAAAGTTGATATTGGTGCAGGGAGATGGAGGTGCAATGCAGGGCCAAGAGGCCAAGTTAGAATAATCTGGAACCAAGACTGGATCCGAGGGGGCAGCCAGCTGGTGCTCTGGGACCATTCTGACTTCACCCTCAGACAAGGAGAGGGCCAGTGACTGCACATGCAGAGACGGTGTTCTAGATGGAGGCCATTCCTGTTGAATAGGTGTCAAACTGAAGAAGCTGGAGTGGGTGGAACTGACATGCCTGTTTTGGGTGGTGAGCATCCTTTAACCAACTGGCTCTTTTCGTGATGTTTCTCATGGTGCTTGTATTTTGTCCTAGCTTTCTTAGGAGGGGGTTCTGGGGTGCATTGAGAGAGCCCAGGAGACTCAGATCAAAGTTGAGCTGCAACTGACCTCAGACGCAATGGAACTGAAGATACTGAAGGCAGATGATACCGAAGGCTGATTCATGGAGCCCAGAGACTTACCGGTGGTCATTTGTGGCCACTCCCCCAAGGCAGAAAATTTCTTTGCTGGCCTTTTGGAGCATGTAAGGGCTTTCTCTGGCTGCTCTATTGGATGAGCCTTTTGCGTAAACTGGAGGCAATGTTTGCAGCCGGCACTGTCATGCCCTTTGCCAAGGCATAAGAGACAAAGGGAGTGCCTGTCAGAGTGGGTCATCTTTGTTCCACACTGGGAACACTTCTTAAACAGTGCTTTCTGCAACATGCCTGACAAGAAGGGCAGAGATATCTTAAAGGAAAAGTACAAGAGATCATTGGAAGACGTCTTTGCTCAGCAGCAGCAAGAAAAGAACAGGGGGGGCATGTGACCATTTGAGCTGGAAAGCAGCTCCACCTGGCTCTGAGGGGAGGGGCACCTCCCTTAGATTTCTAGGGAAGGAGAGAAAAGCTGGAAAGGAATCCTTTGCTGGCTGGCCTGCACAGTTCCAATGTGGGACTGCACAGAAGACCAAAGATGAACTGCTGTTACAGAGACATCACTAGGGT